GAAATAGTGCTTCAGGTTAAGAACTTTGCTTCGGGATAAGAACAGAAAACGTGCTCCAACAGCACGGCAGCAGCGGGAGGCCTCATTAGCTAAAGTGGTGCTTCAGGTTAATAACAGTTTCAGGTTAAGTACGGACCTCCGGAACGAATTAAGTACTTAACCCGAGGTACCACTGTATATAAATAATTTTCACAAAAGTTATGCTGGCAAATACCGTATTTTTTGCTCTATAAGACTCACTTTTTCCCTCCTAAAAAGTAAGGGGAAATGTGTGTGCGTCTTATGGAGCGAATGCAGGCTGTGCAGCTATCCCAGAAGCCAGAACAGCGAGAGGGATCACTGCTTTCGCTGCGCAGCGATCCCTCTTGCTGTTCTGGCTTCTGGGATTCAGAATATTTTTTTTCTTGTTTTCCTCCTCCAAAAACCAGGTGTGTCTTATGGTCTGGTGCGTCTTATAGAGCGAAAAATACGGTGATTTTATTTCAAGGCTTGAACCGCATCTGCATATAAAGACATTATGGAAAGTATAGCTATACAATAGTGCTTTTTAAAAATACATAGGGGAAAGGATTATTTTAAGTATTTACATTTAAAAATGCTTTCCTAGCTTTCTTTTCTGCGAATTCTTGAATGACGCAGGAAAAATCAAGCAACTTCACCTTGAATATGCTGACTGAAGCCCCCTTTGGAATCGGAGGCCCGGGCCAAGTGGCCCATATGGCCCCCCCTCTTTCTGGGCCTGGTTGCTGCTGGCCCACAGCCTGCAAAATCTGCCTGTACTTTTAAAATGTGTTGGGGAGGAGGAGGATAATAATTGGGTGGTTCTTGTTCTTGTTCCTATTATGCATTTTGTGTTTTAATCTTGTGATTTTATCTTGTGAACTGCCCTGAGATCTGTGGGTATAGGATGGTATACAAATTAAATCAATCAATCAATCAATCAATCAATTATAGCAATAGTAATAATAATACTTTCACTACTGCCCGCCCCCAATAGATGCTAACAAATAACAAAACTGAAAAAAGCTCAACAACTTTGGTGCCCCCCAACAAGAACAAAAATCCTGGCTACACCCATGTTCCTCACTGGCCCTATTTTGCATTCTGTATATTTTTGCTTGGCTGGAATGTGCCCTTGAACTCTGATAGTGCCTTTTGCTTCTCTGGATGGAGGAAGAGAAGAGAGACAGAATGGTACCTCAGGTTAAGAACTTAATTCGTTCTGGAGGTCCGTTCTTAACCTGAAACTATTCTTAACCTGAAGCACCACTTTAGCTAATGGGGCTTCCCGCTGCTGCTGTGCCACCGGAGCACAATTTCTGTTCTCATCCTGAAGCAAAGTTCTTAACCCGAGGTACTATTTCTGGGTTAGCAGAGTCTGTAACCTGAAGGGTCTGTAACCCGAAGTACCACTGTAGTAGTCTACTGAAAAAAGATATAGAGTGGTACCTCGGTTTAAGAACAGGCCGGTTTAAGAATGATTTGGTTTACAAACTCTACAAAACCGGAAATAGTGTCCCGGTTTGAGAACTTTACCTCAGTCTAAGAACAGAATCCGAACGGTGTAAGGGCACCGGTGGCAGGAGGCCTCATTAGGGAAAGCGCACCTTGGTTTAAGAACTGACTTCCGGAATGGATTAAGTTGGTAAACCGAGGTACCACTGTAATTTGCACCTAGTGCTTTACCCACCGATTGCCTCTGGCCCCACTCACTACTGGCATGTGGCCCTTGGAAGGCTGCCTAGCAAGAAATGTGGCCCCCAGTTACCCAGCCCTGACGCAAGGTTTTCCTTCAGGCCTGCTCTCCCTCACCTGCCATCAGATTTAGCGAGATGCCCCTCTTTCCTTGCAGCGGCTCTCAACCTGTGGGTCCCCAGATGTTGTTGGACTACAACTCCCATCATCCCTAGCTAGCAAGGCCAGAGCTCAGGGTTGATGGGAGTTGTAGTCCAACAACAATTGGGGAGCCACAGGTTGGGAACCGCTGCGAGTCACATGCTCTCCTTAACATCCTTGGGAAGCCTGGGGTTGCGGGGTGTTTTTTTGAAGAGTTGAGCAGGAGAACATCACAGCCTACCATATTTTTCGCTTTATAGTGCGCACCTGACCATAGGGCGCACCTAGTTTTCAGAGGGGGAAATGAAGGGGGGGAAAATGATCCCCCCCCCAGCTCTGGGAGCAGCGGAAAGGCTGCGCGCAGCATGTGCGCTTCTCCCAGACCTTTTCCCTGCTTTTGCGGGAGGTGGGGGAATTCCCCCATCTCCCGCAAATGCCCACAGGAGCCGCACACCCTTTAAGGAGCGCATGGCTCCTGCGGGCTTTTCGACCAGGAGGGAGAAGGGACTGACACGGCCAGCCAGTCCCTTCTCCATCCTCGGGGAAAAGCCTCAAAGAGGTCGGGGAGCAGCGCAAAGGCGGCACGCCGCCTTCCCGCTGCCCCCCGAGCTTGTGGGGCTCGCGGTGGCTTCGCGTTGCTATCGCTGAAGCCAAGGAGCCTGCATTCGCTCCATAGGACGCACACACATTTCCCCTTAATTTTTGGAGGGGAAAAAGTGTGTCCTATAGAGCGAAAAATACGGTAACTAGCCGAGGAGTGAAAGCAGGTGGGATTCTGTGGTGAGGAAGGGAATGCCAGGCTTCCAGCGGGGAAGTCCGCGACTGGTGAGCTCTCACTCTCAGCCACAGGTAGTTGCACGTGTGGCAACGAAAAGGTTCCTCTCCCGGCCAAACTGCAGGAGGAAAGGTGGGAGTTGCTGCTTTTTTGGTACACGCTCGCGCAAGGTGCACTCTGACCTCATCTTCCTCGTCTCTCTCCATAGCAACCGCCAGCTCCCCAGCCCTCTCTGGAAGGGAGGAAAGAAGGGTCAGCGTGTGTGAGAACGCTGGCCGAGAGCTTTCTCTTCGTCTTTTAAAACTTCGCTGTTATCTTTTCAAACAGCTACAATGAGGGACTAAAGGCTTGCAGCGATACATTTCATAAGCTGGGGTCTGATATATGTTGGCTGGGAGCGATTTCTAAGGCAAACACCCCCAGCTATCTGTTCTCCACTAGTTTTTTTTTTCTTCTCTCATATTCTGAGGAAGGAAGGAAGTGTGGCATAGTGGTTAAAGTGCTGGACTACAGCAGAGGAGAACCCAACTTCAAATTCTCACTCAGCCCTGAAGCTCAGTGGGTAGCCTTCAGCCGGTCACTGTCTCTTAGCCCATAACAGGGTTGTTGTGAGGATAAAACAGGGTAGCTGGAGAAAAATGATTTTCTTGGAAAATAATGGGATGGAAAATGCAATAAATAAATAAATGAGGGCTCCAAGTGATCATTGGGCAGATCCACACCACACTTTTAAGGTGCCATTCAAAGCCCGTGACTTACCACAAATATTCGTGGGAACTGTAGTTTTCCCTCACCCGCCCCAGCACCCTTAACAAACTATGGTTCACAGGATGTTTTGAGGGAAGCCACATGCTTTAAATGTGCGTTGAATGTGCATTAAACGTGTGGTGAAGTGCAACTCTTTCTGAGCATAACATGGTTCATGCGCAGTTTGTTTTGGGAAGCCTAGATACCAAAATCACCACACAACGTAAAACTGAATACGCAGGAAATGTTTGGCATTCTTGTAAGGTAAAGGTAAAGGGACCCCTGACCATTAGGTCCAGTCGTGGCCGACTCTGGGGTTGCGGCGCTCATCTCGCTTTATTGGCCGAGGGAGCCGGCATACAGCTTCCGGGTCATGTGGCCAGCATGACTAAGCCGCTTCTGGCGAACCAGAGCAGTGCACGGAAACGCCGTTTACCTTCCCGCCAGAGCGGTACCTATTGATCTACTTGCACTTTGTGCTTTTGAACTGCTAGGTTGGCAGGAGCAGGGACCGAGCAACAGGAGCTCACCCCATCGCGGGGATTTGAACCGCCGACCTTCTGATTGGCAAACCCTAGGCTCTGTGGTTTAACCCACAGCGCCACCCACGTCCCTGTTCGTGGAAGCCTAGGTACCAAAATCACCACACAATGTAAAACTGAATACGCAGGAAACGTTTGGCATGCTTGTAACCTGCCATATATCAGGGTGGGTGAGTCCAGGCAAGCATGTATACAAATTGAAAAAGCCTTTTCACATTTTTAGTTAATCTGAAGGCTCTGCCTTAGCCTCTCAGCTGTGATCAGTTGCACCGACAAGCCGTTATGTGACAGTACTCATTCCTACATTGGATGCTTTTGCTGAGATTCCTGCTTTGCAGGGGGTTGGACTAGATGACCCATGGGATCCCTTCCAACTCTACAGTTCTGTGATTTCATGTCTTCTCACTTATTATCAAGAAGAGCACTTCGACCGGGTGGTGGTGGAAGCAATTCACTCATTCGGCTGCAAATTATCCAGCAAATGAGACATTGGATGATGAATGTGCTTGCAAATCAGCCAGTAGAATCTACCATGTACACACAGAAGCAGGCTCCATACACACCATACATCTGAAGTGCATTCCCCAACCCAAGACACCTGGAAATTGTAGTTTTACACACACACCCCAAGCTACAGTTCCCAGCACCCAGCCACAAAGCTATGGTGCAGAGCTGCTCCTCCACTAGCCCCTCAACCCCTTCTCCAACAAATCAACCTGGGAAATCCATCAAATCCCGGAAGCAGAAGGCAGCACACTCCTCTGAAGTCACTATAAAAACTCTCAGATCATTTGTGCTACAGTCCATGCTGCAAGGAATCACTTTTGATGAATTTCCGTGCCTTTTAATTTGGCAGAAATCGACAGCAGCGAGTAGAGGCTGCTGCTCCCTTTCTCCCTTTCTCATGGTGCTAATTTCCCAGGCTTCATTTCCACCCCGGTGCCAATCTATTTCTGCTTGAACATTCAGTCTAGCACAGTAGTTTTTAAGGGGTGGCAGGGAAGAGCTCCTGCATTAGGGACACTCAGGTATACTTGATGACCCTTTGATCTCTCTCTTGCAGGCTTATGGATCTAGAGATGAAATGTGTGCATCGCTGGGGAAGACTGTAGCTCAATGATAAGAGCATCTACTTTTCTTGCAGGTCCTGGGTTCAGTTCCCAGGATTTCCAGGTAAGACTGGGTGAGAACCATGTCTGAAATCATGGAGAGCTTCTGCCAGGCAGTATAGACAATACTGAACCAAATGGACCCATAATTGGACATGGCATAAAGAAAACCCCTTTGTTCTAAGCTTGTAGAGTCCCCACCATCTCATTCCCACACCATGCAGCAGAGTCCTTGTCTATGTGCTCTAAAATCCCACCTCCCTTTGGATCCAAAATCACGTGAGCTTTGGGCTTTCCGTCTTCCTGCAAACCACCACATCCCATCCTGCCTCCTTTCCCACCCGACCCCTAAGAATGAATTGTAGCAGCTCCTCCGTCCACCTTTGGTCCTCACCTTGCAACTTGGCTTGGAGATGTCCTTGGGTCAGGTTCCAGATACCAAAGCAGCACTGGTTGTGAGGGCACTGGATGGTTCTGTTGTGGCCGTCCTCCGAAATTAAGCCCTTGAGATGCTCCATGCCTTCCATCAGGGCATTAGATCCATAGGAGACGCAGCTGCGGTTTTTACTCAGGGCACTGGTGCTCACCGTTTGGCATCTCAGTAGTATTAGCCAGGCAGACAATCTCCAAAGCAGCCTGCAGGGCCCCATCTACCCTCCAAGAGCACCTGAACTGGATATGCAAACCTAGCTTGCCCGCCTAGGAGTTCCTCCTCCGGGCCCAGGTGGGAAGGACTTGGCTGGCTTCAGCGTGTGGGATGGGGCTGGTTGCTGTCAGCGAGTGACCGCAAGCGCTGAAGCAGGCGAGGGAGGCAGCACATCTAGGCAAGGAGGGACAAGACAGATTTCCAGTGGGTCTGCCTTCATGCCTAAGCAGATTGGGTATAACAGCTTCCAATGCCACCATACAAAAACACCTCCCACGAGACAGCAAAACAACTCCCTGCAAACTCCAGGAGGGAGATCTTAGATGCCCTAGCCTGGGGTGCCCCCCTAGGCAGCTCAAGGACAGAGTTTCAGATTTGAAGAATATTGTTATGGGAGGAGGGGGAGGGGGAGAGACAAGGAGGTTTGAAGTGGGTGGAACAAGATTCTCAGCAATATTCATTCAAGGTCCGTTCGAATGGGTATGTTCAACATCAAACTGAATATGTGCAAAAGCACTCAGCACTGCATGTGGAGATACTGTTGGGGTCATTTTTGTGCTTTGTTAAAAAAACACAGAAATGGGATCACATCAACACCCTCCTCCCCCACTCCAAGGGAAGGGATCTGTGCTATAGGCATTAATATATAGTGTGGGTAGGTGGACAGTGGTGGTTAATTGGCAGAATTGTGTGCTTACATCCCATTGAATTTCCAAGAGGACAAAAACTTTAAATAAGAACGGGGGGAAATTATATTTTATTTAAAGAGACCACTGCAAGCAGATGAAAACATTAGCAGGATTTTAATCTCACTTGTAATGTAACAAAATTATGGACAATATGGATTAATATAAAATATAGACTATGGAATAAAATGCAATTGTAAATGTTGACAATAGGACCCATGAAGGGGATGGGGGGAAGGGGAGTCCCAAGATTCAGAGTAATCTCTGTATATGGATATGCATTTGGATAGTTATAAAATTATATTTGTAAAATCAAAGAAAAGTGATTTTAAAAAAAGAATTTCCTTTTGTGGGGGTGGACATATCAGCATCCTTGAGGCCTTCCTTCCAGATGTTCAGGAGAGGGTTTACTTTTCATTTGCGATGGTATGACAGTGCTAGGACAGAGCGCATGCTTTGCATCCAAAGTTCAATCTTCAGCATCTCGCGTTCAAGGATCTCAGGCAGTAAACCAGGAAAAGATCTTGAGAACTTATGAGAACTGCTACCCGTCCGAGCAGATCATATTGAGCTGGTAAGGGGTTGAATCAACAGTCCAACTCAGCAAAACACAGCTTCATATGGTCACAACACAACCCACTTGTAAATGCAACCCAATGAATGAGTGGGCTAAACTTTTGTGAGCTAAAGGACCCAGGGGGCAGTGGGGTGGGGGACTCACTTGGGGCCCAGTAGATGGAAGCTTACATCTCATGCAAAGTGTCTTGCCCTCTATGTCACCACCCTTGGGCTGGCTGCAGGCTGCTGTTTTGTTCAGAAGACCACCTTAAAACATACCGGTGTCTCCACCAGACTAAATATCGAGCAGATGAAATGATAAAAGCTTCCGCTTTGATGGCATAGATTAACAATCATTTTGCCAACTTTCTCACCCGGGGCAGAGCAATTAGAATATGCAAAAGCTCCTCAGCCTTCCGCTTGAATATAGCTCAGTTGGTAGAACATATGACTCTTAATCTCAGGGCTGTGGGTTTGAGCCCCCTGTTGGGCAAAATATTTCTGAATTTCAGGGGGTTGGACAAGATGAACCCTCCTGGTCTCTTCCAACTCTCCCGTTCTTATGATTCTATATTTAACTACCACCGATACACGTGAGCAGCACTGGCAGTATTTGGTTGCATAAACAGTTCTGCTGGTGGTACTGAGACGGCCAGCACCGCCGCCAGGACTGCGGTTGACAACTTCAGCCTTGTTTTCAACAACCAGGCTGATAAAGGGCTCTCTCTGTAGACATAGCAAAGTCCACTTCCTGGATGCCTCTTATCTGCTCAGAAACAAGAGATGTCAAGTAGGTGCATTAGCAGTACAGCAGATATAGGCTTCCAATCTTCATAGTCCATGACTGTGCTGTAAATTTAAAGCAGGAGTGTAGACTCAAGATCTTTGGTCACAGATTATCTATGCTTTAGCTCTTAAGTGACCCTGCCAGTGCATTCTTGCTTAAAAGCATTAGCACCATGTTCATGCATTCAAAAACACCCCACATTTTATTATTATTATTACCCAGCCCATCTGGCTGGGTTTCCCCAGCCACTCCGGGCAGCTCCCAACAGAACACTAAAAACAGAATAAAACTTCAAACATTAAAAACTTCCCTAAACAGGGCTGCCTTCAGGTGTCATCTAAAATTCAGATACAGTAGTACCTTGGGTTAAGAACGTAATTTGTTCCGGAGGTCCGTTCATAACCTGAAACTGTTCTTAACCTGAAGCACCACTTTAGTTAATGGTGCCTCCCGCTGCTGCTGCCGCGCCGCCGGAGCCCGATTTCTGTTCTCATCCTGAAGCAAAGTTCTTAACCCGAGGTACTACTTCTGGGTTAGCGGAGTCAGTACCCAGAAGTGTCTGTAACCTGAGGTACTACTGTAGTTGTTTATTTCCTTGACATCTTATGGGAGGGCATTCCACAGGGCAGGTGCCACTACAGAGAAGGCCCTCTGCCTGGTTCTCTGTAACCTCATTTCTCGCAGTGAGGGAAATGCCAGAAAGCCCTTGGAGCTGGACCTCAGTGTCCGGGCAGAACGATGGGGATGGAGACGCTCCTTCAGGTATCCTGGGCCAAAGCCGTTTAGGGCTTTAAAGGTCAGCACCAGCACTTTGAATTGTGCTTGGAAACGTACTAGGAGATAATGTAGGTCTTTAAGGACTGATGTAATATGTTCTCGGTGGCCACTCCAGTCACCAGTCTGGCTGCCACATTGACGCTCAAATATTCAAACACGCTTTTGGGAACTAACGGCTTTTAATGGAACAGCTAAATGCCTTGTTTTTATTGTAATTATTTATATTGTTTTATTAGTTTTGTGTGTGTCGTTTTAATTCTATCAATGTTTAATTGTTCTTTAATGATCTCCCCATGTTTTTAGCTGTTCTTATTTTTATCTGTAAGCTGCCTTGTGTCAGGGAAAAAGGTGAGTTATAATTAGGGTTGTCATATTTTAAGAATTGAAAATCCAGACACAAAAGTTGTTAAGCTTTTTTTTAAAAAAATAATAATAAAATGCTGCCCCTTTCAGTTAATAAGAATGCAGAGAAGCAAGCCACAAAAGGTTCGTGCTGAGTGTCCACAGATATGGATACATTGTTGAATGCGGAAGGCCAGGCTGCAGCAATGGTCGGAAGTGATTTACGTCAACTTTGTTTTGCAAGAAGGTCACAATCCGCCCACTCTCCCCCTGGATTTTCACTAGTCCTTTTAACACTACATGGGTCTTGCAGGAGGAACATCAAAGGGCAAGGATGGAGCTAAAAGGATAGAGAGTCCTGCTGTCAACATGAATCTTGACCTAACACGTGAGGACTGGAAAAACAGGACTAAAGAAGCCTGAGAAAAAGGTTAGAAATCAGAGTTATTCAAGGCGGAATGTTTGGGGGCTAAGCACGCACACCATAAAATATTAAAGGAAGGCACATGTTTATGTTTGTGTGTGCAATATATACTGCTCGTGTGACTAGGCAGATTAAAAACAAACTCTGTAAATACTTGTTTTATTCCTTTCATTTTAAAAAAATTGTAATCAGTATACAAAGGAGCCAAACTACTTTAATCTTTGTACAAAAATAGCACTTTTAAAAAGTGTTTCAGACATCATTACATCGGGAATTGGATTTTTTTTTTTTTAAAAAAGAAGCACATACATTATTACAAGATAAAACAGTCTTTTACACAGCTAGACAAGAATTATTTTATTGCCAGTGTTACAGGTTGGCTTTAAGTGTCTGCAGAACTGTGCTGTTAAGCACCAAAGACGACTTAGATTGCTACCCACCTTCCCCCTTCCTGGGAGAGGTGACAGAGGCAGCCAGGTTACTGTGGAAGAGGATTACAAGCCACTGAACATAATGAAAAACATTTATGAAACGTTAGCGGAACCTGGGAATGGCAACTGGGCAGAAACTCTCATTCCCCTCCACAACCGCCCCTTTCCATTGCAGAGCATGCAAAAAGTCAGTGCTCTCATCCTTTTACCTTTGGGTTGGTGGGTGGGGGAATAAGTTAACTGCTGAACTCCAGCTGCCCATTTAGACTGGACTGTGACAAGATTAAAGCTAGGCAAAGCTGTTCGAAGGCACAGAACGCGACAGAAGAGCCACTGAAGGCTGATGGCACTGGCTTGGCTATATAGAACCCTTGTATATAAAGGAAAAGGCACGTCTGATTCCAGAAAGAACATTGTAAGTTATTTTAAGAAAATATAAAATAATAATAATATACAGTCGTCCCCCCTCTCCTTTCGCTTTGCACGTTTCGGATTTTGGGCCACTTTACACAAAATCAGAGGAATCAAATAGTAAAGCTTTTCCTAGATCCACTTTGCAGTTGCATCTCTGAATGATTCTCCACAAATAAAGCCACCCGAACCTAAAATTTATTTAAAGTAACAAACAAAAAGCCACAAATGATCCAGCATGTCAGGTGTGGATTCCTCTCCTGGACATGCTAATTTCCTAAAGACGTGGATCTTCCTCTGCCCTCAATTGGGGGAGCAATCAATAAGGCAATTCTCCAACACACCCAAACCCCATCAGCAGCCTGAAGAGGTAGCCCAGGAAAAAAAACCAACCACTTGTGACTTGTTTCGAGTCTTTTGTTTTCAGTGTGCGTACAGCAAAGGATGCTTCTATCTAAGTATGCCACTAGGCAGTGTGTGTATGGGCTCAAGCATGAGACAAGTCATGAGAGACCCTCACAACCGGCACAGACAGGCAAGAGTCACAGTGCCATTCTGGCATAGGTCATAATCCTGCACTAGCCATAAAGCAGACACATGTGGCAATTTGGACTGGCGTTCTCCAGCCTTGAGGTCCCTAGATGATGTGGGGACTGCAACTTCCATCATCCCTGAGCGTTGGGCTACGCTCATCTGGGGATGGGGGGAGTTACAGCCCAATATTGTACTGGGGACCCCAAGGTTGAAGAACACCGGTGCAGACGAATCCCTTTTTGAAACCTCACAGGAAGTTTAAGATGCTTCCGGTCTCTCCCCACCCCACCCTGTTGTGCCACAGAAGCAGGCAGTGTGAGCAGGCATGGCTAGGAATGAAGACTTCCGGGAACAGAGCCCTGACCTCTGTGGGGGACAGGGAGTAGACCAGGGGTCAGCAAAGTTTTTGTGGCTTGGGCCGGTTCACGGTCCCGCAGACGCCACGGTGGGCCTGAGTGCGAGTGTGCGCAAATGCTATTTCCAGCGCTCCTTCCGGTGCGGAGGAGGCGTGTGCAACTTCCCATTGGCTGCAGGAGCTTCCTGCAGCCAATGGGAAGCCAGCCAGCGTTGTGGAAGGCAGTCTCCGCTCTGCTCCGCGCTGGTTTAGCGTGGCGCACGGGAGCCAAGCGGGTGGGCGGCGGGGGTCCATGGGCCGGTTAAACGGCCCCCATGGGCCTTAGATTGCTGACCCCTGGAGTAGACACTAGGTAAGTAACATCAACTCCAGCTTGGCAACAGGAGAAGCAGGAGAGATGCGGAGGACACAGGTGGAAGTCCATGTCTCCTGGGCACCACTGGCACGATGCAACCACAGCACGATGCTAATAAAATAGTGCCACTCTGGCCTTTACCAGGCTGTCTCAACTTAACAGCCACTTCCATGAGAAAACTAAAAAGTTTAAAAAAGCAAGCGTCATTTTAGAACTCCCCACAAAAGGCACCCATAGTATGTCTTTTTCCTTACAGTAAAACTTTTGCTGCTGCTTTGCTTAAAGATGGGGCACGATAACACATTTCAGATAACTTGCTATATTGAGAGGACAGGTAGGTGGGATACTACCTGAGTGGAGGGCGTTTTCCAGGGAATGGATGGATGGATGGATAAAGCAACATACTTGGGAAAAGCAACATAAGTCTGGTAAGAGAGCAACCCTGGAGGTTCTGCTAAATATTTGGAATACTGCCGCAGATAAAGCCACTTTGGAAGATGCCTAGAACACCTTGGCTTGTTTTGGACTTCAGTTCTTGCAAACAGATGAACAGAGAGAACCAGTGGCATTCTGCAAGCAGGTGCAACAAACTGCTGCCCCTGGGGCATCTCAAGTTAAGGCACCGTTTGTAAAACATTGGGAGAAAATTAATACTGCATTCTACCAAGGGATCTAGAATTTCCGCTATTTCCAAAACATTACCCTTCCAATGCATCTAGTTTTGAAAGATCATTAAGATTGTTGGTGGTTTTTTTGTTTGTTTTTTTAAATACAAATACTTTCAATAAAGTAGAGGGATTTATAGCAAGAGCTACTTCCCTTCCTTAGGGTTATAGCCAATGCCAATCATACTCAGAGCAGAGCCACTGAAATTCGTAAACATGAGTAACAGGTCTATGCATTTAAATGAGTGTACTTTGAGCAGGACTAGCATTGAACAAAACAACCCTTAGTGTTCAAGTTTCACCGTTTTCCTATACTTCTATCACGGGCTGAAAACACCTGGTTTCTACTTTGTGACCCCTGTGGTATAAGCTGGACAATATTGCTCCTTAAAAAGAAAAAAAACACTGCGAAGATTCAGCAAGTAAGACCAATATATCCTTTGGGGTGGGCAATTTGCTACACAACACTCCTGATATAATTGACAACATGACAAAATTCTAGCTATTGGCTACCAATGGATTCTTCTCCTATGCCACACTGAGCCTGAGATTGAACAAACCACACTCAGAATAAAGAAGAAAATGTCCTATGGATTTTAAAAGAAAACAAGTTTCCTTAGGTGCAGAAAATCTGTACAAGAAGATGAATAGGCAAGATGAATAGATTGACAAGGCAGCAGACCTATAATGCAGTCCACAAGGATGACTGGGACAGACCACAGCGATGCTCACTGTTTTCTAAACAGTGGACATATGAAGTTCCATTAATTCCTTCAGGAAAAGCAGCTTGAAAATGGGTGCTGAAGACAACTGATTAGAAACCAACACCTTCTGGGCATTCTAGAAGACACAACATGGCTTTCTGGCAAAAGGGGAAGCATTCAATGTACAGCGTATTAAAAAGAGATCCTTACCATCTCTGTCAATATAAATTTGAAGCACTGGGACTGAAATGGCAGACCCAGAGAAAAACTAAAATTAAGGACCAGAGGTTTCTGTATTATTGCTTATCATGTCGTATTTTACTTACCTAGGACATATCCTGTCTCCACCTTCCCAAAGCCTGTGTTCAGTCATTTCAGTAACAACATGGTTAACCTGACTTTCATGGAACGCTTAAGATCCATCACTGTAAAAGCAGACTTGCTCAGAATAAACAGCCACTCATACTTTTAAAATCCTTACTTCCTTGGGACAATCTATCTCTGACCTGACTGTACCCATAAAGTCCTTTTGGCACAGAAAAACGTCTTGCTTTTGAAGCAACACTGGTTTGGAAAAGGTGCCATATAAGCTGATCTTGCAGCAAGATCAATCTGTTTGCCAGATCAAATCCAGCAGAGATACTAGAACGTTTTCAAGAGACAGTTTTCATTCACTCATGCTGAAATAAAACCCCTTTAAGCCATAACATTTACTACTTACAATTTCACTGGTCTTTCTACAAGCGAGTGAATGCATAGCGTGTACAAAGTGATAATCATACTTGCTTTCACACTGGGGCGCAAGTTTTACAGGTGCAATTCCGAATCTTATAAAACTTGACAGAAGGATGTTTCTAGCAGAGGCTCATCAATTTATTTTGATGTGCATCTCTGAGGATTTGGTGCATACACACTGAAGTGAAAATCTAATCAAAGGTTTTTCACTGGTATGGAGGAAGAAGCCAAGGTACTGGCATGCCAATGCCTCGTTTTCTATGCTGGCACAGGAAGTTCCTATTTAATAATGCTCAAAACACGCACACAAATTCTGGCATGAACTGTTTCGTATGGTACAGCCCTGCTCTTTGCAACCCAATATCTGCATGACAAGATATAGTGACTGAACTAGAGCAAAATGATAAAAGCTTCACAGAACCATAAGCAAGAGAGGGGAGTCCTTAATACTTTTGTCTCAATGAAAAAGAAAGCTAAACCGAAGAGCTAAGCTCACAGGCCAAAAAAACTGGATAATTCATCTGTGCTGCAGAACTCATAACATAATCTCATACCAGTTCCTTTTTTTCCTAATACGGACAGTTTCCTGTCTTATACCTTTGATCTAAAGACGGGTTCCCATTCTCCCTCAGCTCAACAAATACTGCAGGCCATGCAGGAGATGTCCTTATGTTCTGAAACTGCGTATCATTAAAGCATGACTCTGTGCACCAGGGGCCTTGCAGACACAGCCACCCGGTCAGCAGCAGCAACTACAAGCTTGATTCTGGCAAACTCCTGAGGAAGTGAGATGGCAGAGTCATTTCCTCCACCTCTGCCCAACAGAAACACAGCTCTATGCCAGTCTTGCTAAAACACGGCATGCTAGCATCAAGATCTGATGGCTGGAATAGGGACAGAAGAGAAACTGGCTGGTAATTTAGAGCATGGTGTGTATTTTCTGGTGCTACTGGTGTGCAGGGGGAGGTGGCAAAGTGAAATAAAGCTGGAAGACAGAGGTAGAACAAGGCAGAGAAAGGAAGGCAGTTGGGGGTGCCGGAGAGTGGAAAAGCAGGTAGAAATGATGTGACTTGGCCACTGCTCTTGAAAACAACAGTTTAGGCAGGACTTGGGGCCATGGAAGTGGCAGCCAAACATAATGGCTGGCTACCAAGTCACGGACCCCTGTGAGCACTCTAAGGCAAAGAAGGGTGGCCTAGGCACTGCAGGAAGCATCATTCTCCTGCTGAAGGATGTTAAAAAGAGACAGGATGCCTGTAAAAACTGTCACCTTCCTGAAATTCAGTATTTGCTATTTTCCCTTCACTACTTGAAGCGAAAGCAGTTTGCTTCAATAGCCCAAGGGGAGAAGAGATGACTTTTAGTTAACAGCTGGGTACGACGAAGAGGAAAAAGAAAGGGTAAGGCACTGGCGGAGTATGGCCAACTGTGGTGCTGCATAGAATGTCAGGCTGGTTCACACTGAAGCCCAGGGCTCTGGGGAAATGTCCAAATACTGCTAAGATCAAAAGGCCCTGTTGCTCCTCAAAAGGCACCCTCTTCCTTCTTCATTTATTTTGGCTCTCACACGTCTTCTGTAGCTTGCTGATAGCCAACAACATCCAGTCCCAGCTGCTGCATTTCCTATTCATACTGCACCCACATGGGGATGCACAATATTGCAAGGGAGCTGAATGCTACCAAAGGCAGTTTAAATAGAACCGGAGAAGTGCAATGCATTTGCTTGAGGTTTTAAAAAATAAACACAAATCCAAGATACCCATCTTCTTTTCCTATTTGGTATAGCATTCACCTACCAAACAGACAAAAACACAACGGGATACAAAGCTCTAGATCTATCTTGTCCCACAGTACACACTTCCTTGGCTGAGTAAAGAGCTCACCCTTTCAAAACACACACCACCATATATGTAACATGCTTGGCACATCATCTGCATGCGTACCAGGTTACTTGGGCCTCAGTTCCATTGCAGGTTTTATTATATGAGATTTTGACTGATTCAAATCAGAAAGTGAATAGGGCTTGTGCCAAATGTACAGGCCTAGAAGTGACTGCAGCAGCAGGATACATCTTAATTGCTTACCTCCTGCAACAAAATCAGAATAGAACATGTTTCAGGTCATGGACCCTGCCACATGGCGGCGTGCGGGGTGGGGGGAATAGCTGATGTGCACAGATGCACTTCTCTCCAAAAGGAGAAAAATAAGAATTAAAACCAAACAAAAAAAAAAACCCCCAAGGAAATAAAGTTAAACAAACAAACAAAAAAAGTACCCAAATTATTGTTTTTTCTTTAAATGGGGGTTGGAGAGAAGAAAGACAAACCTAAAAGCCAAGCATACAAAAAGCTAAATTTATGTTTTTATACTTACAATGTAAAATGCAATATAGCATCTGAACATAGGCTTGAGCACCACCTAACAGCTCAAGGAGTTCCAAGTTAAGGCATCTGAACAACGACCAAAGACTTTGGTCACAGCAATTTTAACCTCTCATCAAAATGAACATATTTTATAGCTTTATATAATTACAATAATAATAATAATAATAATATAGATTTTTTTCTGCTAAAAAGTATTTCAATGATCATATACATTTAGAACCAAGGCATGATGGCATGTGGGGTACCTAACAAGGGGGTGGACTTTTATGGGGGTGGGGGGAGAGCAAAACAAAACGAGTCAAACAGCTCAGGGCCATCTCCATCATTTCCCCAGGTAATCACATCAGGCATCTGAGGGTTGACCTGGACAGCAAGCAGGCCTTATTTTGCAAGCAGTATTCCTGGGAGACCACAATGGGGGTTGGAGGCTGGGTGGTGCAGCTGAGTCCCTCATCTTTCACCTTTTGTATAATGAAAGATCTCATCCCTTGGACCCATTGCTACCTTGAGTATCCCACGTTTGCACAACACCTCCACCACGCAGTCCGCGGTGCCTCAAAATCCATTGCCGCTGATGTTGATTGACTGGAGATCTGCCACTTGCATGACGTTGATGCCGCTGCTGGCAAGGCGCGCAATGCTTTCGGAGCAGATTGCCTCCATGGCCACCATGTTGGTCGCAATTAGGGTCGAGGGTGTTGCCCCACTAGTGCCCTCTGCTGAAGCACCGGTGTCCATGGAGACGGCAGAGACGTCCATGGCCACGTTGTTGGGCCCCTTCTTGTTTTGGTGGGTCTTGATGTGCTTAGAGAGGTGGTCGCTCCTCATGAAGCGCTTGGGGCACTCTGGACAGGCAAACTTCTTCTCCCCTGCAGAAAAGAAATGAGGATGAGACTGCATAGACCTCCCTCCACACTCAAAAGGCTAGAGATCAAAGCGCTTCCACCAGCAAGCACTTGCTTATAGAAAGTGAGCAAGTGGTACTCCAAACCAGCTGGAATCTGGCCCCTACCACCATCCACGCTCTTGTGTCCTTGTCTGGATTACTGTAAGACACTCTCAAAGTGGCCTTTGAAGATGGCTCTAAAGCTTCAACTAGTGTGGAATGCAAGTGCTTGTGTGTTGACAATGTCTAGCTATACACAGCACCTATTTTAGCAGATGAAATTCTTGCCCATTTCCTTCTGTGTCCAAGTCAAGTGCTGGTTATTACTTTTATGATCCTAAATAACTAAGACCCAGTGTTGTCTCAAGAGAAGCCTTATCCCAGCAAACTTCCTTAAGATCTGCAGAGAGGGCTTCATTTTGGGGAACACCCATGTGCAAAGTGAGATGAGCTAGCACACAAGGCATGGCCTTCTCTGAAACAGCATCCATTCTAACTGTCTTTCTCAGTGATATCTGCCTTACGCCATCTGCATATGCCTGTTGCTGGGTGTGGTCTTTTTTTTAAAAAAAAACAACAACATATTTTCATAAGTATTTCCATTATTGCTCAAGTTTATTTGCTGATTTATAGTAACTTTCATCTACCATTATAGGAAACACGTTTTTAGTAGCGTTTGTTTTAGCTTCAGCAAATTTTGGAAAGCAACTGTGTTTTTACAAATGATATGCAAAGCAGCATCTGAAAAAGAAGCTTCTAAAGGAATGTGCGTAGTGCAACATTTAAATTGCAATGTTCTGGCATACAGTTACTCCACTAGCTGTAGTTCTTAATGTGTTATATTTCTGCTCTAATTGGGACACAGCTGAAATGTGGAGTGAGCAAGGGTACGGATGCTATAAAAATAACATCTCCCCTTTTCTTAAACCTGGGCAATATCCAACGAATGTGTTCTGTCAGCACAATGATTTCTGTTTGTGCAACAGAACTTCCCCCAAATCTGTTCTAGGGAATCCCCCAAATCTTCCACAGCAGATTTAGGGAGGGTGCAGTGTATGGGGGGGGGGAGTAGGAAAGTGGGGGGATTCCCCACTGCACAAGCAGTAATCCTTGTGCTGGCAGGACACATTTGCTGGATACTGTTCCTGTGTTTGTGAGACCATAGCCTGAAGACTCACTATATTTTAGTAAGATCTAATTTATATATTTTTAACTGCTGCTGTATCTGTACTGTCCCTGTTATACCGAACTGCAAATTTAAATGTATCCCTATTGTGTTTCATGACTTCCCTGATTTTGTATGCGAGCTGGAACTGGTCTGTGACCAAAATAATTAATTAATTCATTCATAGCCTGAAGAAGGGTCTTCAATCCACAGCAGAGAGGATGACTATCTGCCCTTTAGCAAGGACTCTGTAGCAGCTGGAGTCCGGAGTTTATAAGAAACACATCACTAGGGAATTCTGGGGTTCCGCTGGATGAGATCAGCCTTGCATTCACGAAGGGTTCCAACATTCCTACAGCACTTGTTCCAATCATTCCTTTGCCCTGAGCTGATGGTGCTGCTTGTTCAAACCACACCAGATCCTTGCACTTACCTGTATGTGTCCGCTTGTGTCGCTGCAGTTCATCGCTGCGTGTGAAGCGCTTGCCACAAAACATCCAGGAACACACAAACGGCCGCTCTCCGGTATGCCACCGAAGGTGGGCACGCAGATGAGATGTCTTCCCATACACTTTCCCACAGCCTGGGATGTGGCAGATGTGCTGCTTCTTTTTCCCTGGATCCCCAGTGCCCCTAAAAATGGTTCCATACATAGAATCCTTTTAGTATTTTTTGCAAATACTCAGTGTATTTTCACTAGACATGTTTAAGTGAATAAATCCCAGTTATATTAATGTGCTTTCTCAGTCTCTTACGTCTTCTGAATCCCTTCCCAATTCTCAGTCTTTACCTTGAGACCAGCATCATGTTACATCCTGCACGTCTCTAAAACGTGTGTGTGTGTGTGTGTGTGTGTGTGTGTGTTTTGTGTACTTCTAACCCACTTTAAACCAATAAAATAATATAACAGGGATCTCCCTTTAAAATTAGATGCTTTACAGCTACACAAATAATAAGGCCAACGAGACCACTTACTATCAGCCTTGCAATCAGATTCCCACATTAGTGGACAGTTATTTTTCAAGTCTCTCGAGCAGATTTATAGACCAGCCTGTTCTAAGAGATCAGGAAGAGAGTCAATAGCTCCTGTAACTACAAGGAGACAATTCCCTATCTCAAATACGTGTGCTTTAAATTTTTCTTTGCTGGTTTAAGTGATGGCTATTTCAATTGAAAGCCACCTTGAGAGGCCTCTAGTGGGCTGAAAGGCAAAATGCTGAACAAACATATCTAAGCAGGTGCTCTCTGCTCATCTATGGCTAATATTTTAAACAATGGCCATAAATTACCTCATTCCCACCCCTACCTTTACTTTACACTAATTGCTTGTGCAGGTTTCATGTCCTGAATACAGGCAGTTTATGTTTAATTGCTACAACAAGGAAGTTGAGTTTCTGTAGCACAGTTAATTACGCTCATTCATTGGATTGGTATAGGCAGATGCTACATTATTCGGCTCTGGAAATGTGATTTATTTATTTTAAGCCCAGATCCATAATTGGGCGGGGAAATGTAGGAAATAAATGGGACAGCAAAATAAACGCAGATGGTAATGGAGGAATCGTGCTGGAGAAGAGGTGGAGGAAAGAATCCATGGGTACTGTTGGAAGGCTCCCCATTGGTTCCTAGCACCCAGAAAATGAACACCTCATTTCCCATGAGCACCAGGAGACGCTTGATTTGGTTAGTATTGCAAAGGCAACATAAGCCTGATTGCAGCTCCCCGTCATGTAACCCTGGCAAAACTTTGGTCTACATGGAGCTACAAGATGCACAACTTCGCCTGAAACCACCAACATCCTACCCAGGCAGCTCTAAGCACTGAAATCTTGCAGCAGGGTGAATGTGGCTAAGACTCTTGTCACAGCAAATAAAATGGTTGAACAAATCATTCTCTCCCACCCCATCCACATGGAACCCAGGAATTTTGGGAGGGAACAAGGAGGGCTGGCTACCCTCCTGCAGATATTTCTCCTCCTCCTCAAAACAATTCCCAGTATTCTTTGAGGATGTATACTTGCTGCTATGAAAGTCCTGAATGCAAAAGGTGACAAAAGAACTCCAAACCAACTCCATCCCTCACTTGCACCACAGCGCACAACACCTTAATGACACATGCTATGCCTGCACAACCTTACCTTCCTTCGTTGTCTTTGCAGTAGGGGCAAGTGCATGCTTCTCTGCGCATTCTTCGACCTTGCTGCGGCTGAGCATCGGGGCTGGCCTCTCCTTCTTCAACGGTTGCCCCATCATCAGCCAGCCCGTCGCCACCGGTGCCATGAAGGCTGAGGTGGGTGTTATGATCACCTGCGGGAAAACAATTTTGCTTTGTATTTCACTATCAAAATGGCAATGGTACATACAACCTACAGAAAAAGGACAATCCGGTTAAAACCAACACCACATTTAGCTTTTCAGTTTAGCTGTCTGGGTAGTTTCTCTCCCCATCCCGCCCCAAAGGAAATGAGAAAATTACTCTTTGGAGAGCAAATGGAGAGCTTTCACATTTTCCAATGAGGAACAGTTCTTGCATCTCCCACAGGCAACTTCCAAAAAAATTCCCATTCGCATATTGCCCAATGGTTCTTTCCCCTCCTCTCCCCTGCAGCCCCCATGCACTCTCAAAATCTGCTATAGGGGCTTGGAGGTCCCTCCAGAGCAGATTCCGAGTGCTTGTGCAAGGAGGAAGGTAAAGTCCTGCTGTGTGCACAGTGCTTCTCTGTTTGACTAACTGCAGTTCATCATTAAGCTTGAAACTGTGGTTCATCTTAACTATGGTTTGTCAAAAGTTAGCTACCTTCATTTAAACCACAGCTGAGATTAACCGCAGCTTGTTGGGTTCAGAAGACACAAACTGCTGCTGATCCAAAACGAAGTGAACACTTCCTAACTCCTTGTAGCCACCCTGGAGGACAAAGCAGTACTTACTCAGTACTGTTGTCTAAGAATATGAAAAATATCTGAAGCTACTAAATCCCCACCACTACAGTAGGTTGCACTGGGGCCTAGATTCTTTTGAAGTTGAAAGTTTTTACCTTATGTATTACACATTACAGCTTTGTTCAAGTTTCTTTGTTTGGGAACTTACAAAGTGCTGGGCTTAACAGAAAGATTTTTTAAAGTATCCGTTTAACGGGAAATGATTGTAGTAGCACCCGGGGAGCTAATCTGCAAAACAGATGCGAACCATCCCAATAATAGAGAGAGAAAAGGCAATAAATACAGCAGGCTGGGAGAGAGAATAGTTTAAGTAGTGCTTCTCCTAAGGAAGATATCGGGGGGGGGGGTTTCCTGGGAGCCTGCTAGCTGGCTAATTACTATGATCACAGAAAGCATACATAAAGTTGAAAAATCATCTGTTAACAGCCCATGCACCATATTCTTTCCTCCTCTCTCTCAAAAGCCAATATCCAATTACAAAAACCATAGGAATTATAGCACAACACTGATGAGTTTTCAAATGCAGGCAAGGATATAAAACATTTTGTAAAGGGAGGGGAACCCTGAATGAGTGGGACACTTTCAAGCCTATCAATTTTAGTTTCCATTTTATTGGGCCATTCTTATGCTGTCATCTAATTGCTTCTTCCATAACTCCCCGCTACACTTCCCAAATAGTTTATTTTCCTACAAGCTTCGCTGCTTGATTATTTTCACGCATTGGGGGGAGTGAGGAGGGGAGAGGAATATCACGCAAATCGTAACAGATGCAAAACGCAGCAGGCTGAGCAATCTGTTTTCAGAGGCAATTAGCATATGCCAGCAGTATGGTCCAGCTCACTCATTTCCATCGGACCAAGGCATTCATAAAGCCGTTAGGAGTCTGCAATACAAATTGCGCAGTTAGCTCTGCAACGCGGCTTCCATTTAAAAGAAGATACACAATCGCTCCTTAAAGCCATTGCTGTCAATCAACCTGCAATGCATATGCCATCACAGTACTCAAGAGTATGGGACAAACATGCACCGTTGTCTAAGGTGGGTGTGATTCTCAGGTAATGCTTGGGGGGGGGGTGACTATGCCATAGGGGTTATCTAGTAAAACGCACACACACTCTGGTCCCAGGTTAGACACTCAGCATGTTATATAGTGTTTTGAAGTTTTCAAAGTATTTCAGATGAATTATCTTGATAATCTTGTAACAGCACAGGCCAAGGCTAGTCTATTATTCTACACTGAAAAGGGGGTGGAGGGCTGAACACCCTCACAAACAACTGGTGCATTATACAATTGTGAACTAGGCGTTAGGACACTCATCTCCACTGCCAGCTATCAACAGCTACCTCAGACAACCCTTTGTTGTGGAACAACAGAAAGAGAAGGCTGCTGCCCTCGTGCCCGGACATCTGAGCTTACTAGAGACATCTGGTGGGCACTGTGAGGAACAGGATGCTGGCCTGCATAGATCTTTGATCTGACCCAGCAAAGAATATTTGTTTATGCCTGGGGATTTTTTTTGAGGTGGGGGGATTTACTGAATACAAGGGTGTGTTGGAAACATAGAATTGTAGCGTTGGAAAGGATCCCCTGAGGGTGATCTAGTCCAACCACCTGCACAAAGCAGGAATCCTGCGCACAGCCATCCGTGGGTGGACTCGAAGCACCAACTTTCTGGTTAGTAGCCAGACACACTGACCTATTGCACCACTGGAAATATTTTATCTCTTCACTGCATTTTGGTCTAAGTAACATGTTCTCGCCTCCCTATTAACAAGGTTATGTGTTGCCCTGAGTAGTCACATGCCGTACAAGGAAGTTCTGACATCGGTAACACCGGATAGTTGCGCAAACATGAGACCTGCTAAACCAGTATGTCTGAATTGTAAACTGGACTAAATTACAACTCTCAAGTTTTTGTTTATTAGCTCACCACACTAAAGAAAAATCTGGTTCCAGGTGGAAATTTAAAAATGGTACAATACCAGGACTATAAGCAAAGAGACATGGGATAAATGTAAGGAAATGATGCATTAAAATAAATGAAGTACTGGTGATGAGGCAGAAGATTTACATTACTACATTAGCCGCCCTGAGCCCAGTCTTGGCTGGGAAGGGCAGGGTATGAATAAAATTTTATTATTATTATTAATAATAATACACTATTTTAGGAAGAGGCAAGCATATGAAAGAAATACTTATTGCTGTGTAAAACTTTATTCTGTTTACTTTGTGAATAGTAATAATGAGCTTCAAATCTAGTTTGATTCATGTGCCAAGCAAATTGCAATATTAGGTACCGGGATCCAACATGAGTTAAAATGTGCCCATTCTTTTTTATTTGCTGTTTCTTGTAGCCATAGAAACATCTGACAAAACTAGTGGAGCTAGTTCTGAGTAAGATTACTTCACTTTAGTTACTGAAGCTTTTTTTGAGGACTACACTGAGATTTGAGACCTACTGAAGACAGTGGCGTTGTCATACACCAGTCTTCAGAATCTGTGCTGCGCTTCTAGCTCTCAATAAAACTTATATGTGTCCAGATGCCTGACTTAATTTACTTCCAGTTAGGACTATGAAGTTTCTCAAGATTGCGTATCTTGTTTCTAACACCAGGGGAGAGTTTGGGGGGGCGGGAATCTATGGAAAATGAGAACCTGACGTGGGCTTCTAGGAATCTGAATTCTGCCCTCCAGCGTCTGTTGCTGTACACTTATAAACAAGTTGCATTTTAAGGCTTATTTGCCTTGCCTTTTGTCCCCACATTACCTTACATTAGAGGCAGGAACCTTTTTCAACTTGAGGGCTGTATTTCCTTGTGAGTTACTTGGTGGGGAGTGCATGCCAGTGGTGGGCGGGCAGGGCCAGAATAAAGGCTGCATTCCAGCCACAGATGTTTCTACACACCTCTCCATCCAGGCAAGCAAAGTACTTAAGGAGGGCTGGTAGCAGATATGGATTGGAGAGAATCCTAAATGCCACATACACAATTGTGGAGGGCTATGCCTGTCACCTGCTCTTGCACCTAATGTTCTCAGTCCATGCCTTTGGTGCAGATGGTAGTTGTTTCTTGACAAATCCTCACTTATCTCTGGGCAAATTGCCCCGTATTGTCTCTTTCGTTAATTCTTATTTTGTTGAGAGTTTATCTTGAAGTCAAAACTGGCAATGCCCTCTAGCAGCCAAGGGATAAAGTGCAGTCTCCGCACAAGCCCTGGCATGCCCCAACTCCCGTTTCAATTTCCAAGCCTCAAAATAAGATACGCAAAGAGGGGTACGGAAAATTCTAGATCCCACTTACTCGACTACCTTCCAGCACTAAAGTAGAAGTCACAGGTGTTCTCTTATCAGGCATTTGCTCTTCTGCTTTTCACAGAATGCCTGTGTTCATCTGGACAATAATACACCTCACTTCCTTAAGGTTCCCTATACCAGCTCACAATCCAGGTCCAATGCATTGCAAGTAGCAAAGATGATGGCTGAAGAAAAAATATTATGAACAAGCTTTAAACCACAGATTAATCAAAGCTTTGGCTGATTCATCTGCAGGGGCAATTCTAAACAAAGTGAGGCTGAGAGTTAAGGGCACACACATTTTTATTTCTTAAGGCTATTTCCATTACATTACATCATCACTAAATAGAATGGAGACAATATTATGCCCTCCACTCAAAAACTATGTGATATTCTTTGCTTATAAAGTCCCAAGTTCCCTTTCTTTTTAATATCTCAAAAGGAACCTATATTGAAGTGTGACTTGTAAAAGGCAGATGACAGATCAGTTAATATTTTTTTCCACGTGACAGCTCTACGGAAAAACTCCATAGTTTATAATCAATGAGAACGAGAGAAGCTACCAAGTCAATTCATGTACTTTTCAAAACCCTCTGTAGAATTCTGTGACAGCCAGCAGCAGATTTTCTGACTGCAGCAGATTTTCTGACTGCAGCAGATTTTCTACACCCATCAACCTTGAATTACCTGCACCATCAAGGCAAAATGAGTGGATACCACAGTTTGCCACCCAGAAAAATTTAAAGAATAAAGAAGCTAGGAAGTGCCCACATGGCTATCAATTACAGGCCAACCCTTCCAGCAACGTCATGGATAGTTTTTGGCTAGCTAGACCAAAGTAGTAGCAAATGGCTAATTGGACAGAAATCAGATTCAATGCAACTGGAGCTGGAAGAGAAGCAGGATGCCCTAGGGAAGTCTGAACTCTAACCTCTTAGGGTAAGGTGGGGCTACGGTTAAATCCAACAAGGGCATCTGTAGAGTTGGCCACGGTGCAGGGAGGGCTGCAACTTAAGGCCTTCAAAGGCTACAGCTGCTAGCTTGGGGAGGTCAGGAACAAGCAACTTCCCCAGTCACTGAGGCCACTTCTCTTGTCAGGCAAGCTGAAACCAGCTAATCCTCAAAACCAAGAAGCCTAATTCCCTCCCTCTCTCATGGTGTCTTTCCTGCTTATCATCCACTGAGCAGAGAACTGAAAGGAGAATATGTGGGCATGCTGTAGAGGGCAGTTCTTGCCCAAGAATCCTCTGGTCGAAGTTCACAAAGTTGCTAAACAGCGATCTCTCTACTTTATTGCATGCACACACAAAATTAACACTTTATTCATTCTGAATGAAGTGCTAGACTTGAAGCTTAAAAGTTTGCAGAGTCATCAATAAGAAAAATTTGGTAACTTGGGACTAAAAGCCAAAAACCTGTCAACGCTGTGTCAAATGACTAGATGTTCTGAGAACCTCTCCTCCAAATAAAGTGAGTTTTGCTCAACTGCTTTATTTTAGGGTTGGTGCCAGCACACATGTTCACAAAGCAGACTGGAGTGTTACAACAACAAAAGAAGCCAATATTGCCCCATACTTCAAGTATGAGTTAAGGAAGAATACAAGAGGAAGGATTAAAATGTGTCAGGTTGTTATTGTTTTTACCATGTGTTACCAGGATTCCTTTAACTTTTTGTTTAATGAGGTGATCACGGCCAGCCGTTTTGTAAAGTTTGCCATGAGCAAGACAGCACGAATTCAGTGCTTGCTGTGTTATATACGAACTCCCCCCTGCCAACTGCCATCCAAGACATCAGGAGAGTAAGGTAAATGTAAAGGGACCCCTGACCATTAGGTCTAGTCGCAGACGACTCTGGGGTTGTGGCGCTCATCTCGCTTTATTGGCCGAGGGAGCTGGCGTACAGCTTCCGGGTCATGTGGTCAGCATGGCTAAGCTGCTTCTGGCGAACCAGAGCAGCACACGGAACGCCGTTTACCTTCCCACCGGAGCGGTACCTATTTATCTACTTGCACTTTGACGTGCCTTCAAACTGCTAGGTTGGCAGGAGAAGGGACCAAGCAATGGGAGCTCACCCCGTTGCGGGGATTCGAACCGCCAATCGGCAAGCCCTGGGCACCACCCGCATCCCTATCAGGAGAGTAGGTGGGGGAAATTCTGTGTCAATGCAAAGCTCATGAGTCTCTCTCCTGCACTCCAATCCAAGGGAACCATGTGGCTTCCCATTGATGAACTTACCCAAAGCACATCCCTTACAGAAAGCATAGAATCATAGTGTTGGAATTGACCCTGAGGATCATCCAGTCCAACCCGATATGCAGCTGTTTCATATGGGGATCAAATCTGTGACCTTGGTGTTATCAGCACTATGCTCTGACCCACAGGTATTCAACCTTTTTGAGTCCACAGCTCCCTTTACCAACTGCATTCTTTCTGTGGCACCCCTATGAGGCTCAGGAGCCCAGTTATGTCACCCCTTGCCTGCACAGCTGACAGCCTCTCACCCTTTTTCGAACACCCTCCCTTGTGGAGTGTTCCCTCAGCCTCCTCTCCCTTCTCCTTGGGAGTCCTCCGGGCAGCTGCTGCTGCCACCCCTGGTCTCTGAACTGCACCCCCACCCCAAAGAGAGGTGCCTCCCAGAGACATCATTCGTCTGTGGAGCTTATAGCCAGGGCTGCTGCAATAAACAGCTGTGCAAGCCTTTGGGAGACAGAGATGTGAGAAGGCTTCAGAAGAGGGAGGGAAGGAAAGAGGGACAGAGGCCAGTGCTGCCCGTGGCACCCCTGACCATCATTCAAGGCACCCCAGGGTGCCATGGCACACTGGTTAAAAACCACTGGTCTAACCAACTTAGCTATCCAGCTGTGAAGAAATATCTATGCCAAGATAACTTTTTAAAGTCCCACCCCTTGCACAACAGTTTTACAAATAAATGTCTTCCACTGGACTATCAACACGATCAAATGCCAACATTAGCTTATGGGAGTTGTAGTCCAATAACATCTGGAGGGTCACAGATTCCTGGTCACCTTTGGGTTGAAAGGAAGCAAGCACCCAAACTGGAACACAGTCATGCAATTTTCCTTAGTGCCTTGTTCATGGCCTAACGGCACAATGAACGTTTGTGCAGAGCCACTGAAAGAACAGAGTTGTCTTCGGGCCTAGACATTCTGTGTATTCAAACACTCTTTCCTTATTTAAAAAACATTTCACTTATTAAATATCTTGTGCACTAAGAAGAGGCAAGAGCCCCACATCTCGCCACAGAGCAAGTTGAAAGTTGCACTGTTAGCTCCTGAACAAACAACTTGATTTCAGAAGCTTAACTTTCTAGCTTGCTTTATTTGAAGAACCATGCCAGAAAGAATTAGGACACAACACATATGTGTTGTGATCTGCAAAACTTGCTTATTTTTTTCACAAGCATGATGAACTGCAGCTCATATATATGCTCCCTTTGATGTATTTTTTTAGTTTTTAAATAAAACATAATAATTGTTCTAAACCTCACAGATGGCTACCATGAATTATCCCTTAGAATACATTTGCTCTCTAGTTGAGCAGAATGAATTAAAGATAATTTTTGCCTTTTGGCTCACTGTTATTTCTTTAACCAACATCCTCGTCTCTCTTCAAACTTGCCATTCAGCGTGTTTTAATTTCGCAAACTAGCTCAGTGTTGGCTAATCACCATGCCAAATATTAGTAAGTCATACTCAATGTGGCGTTCTATCACCGGAAGTGGCCTGGATTACACTAAAACAGTAGTTTGACTAGTCTCACCTACATGATGAATCACAGCTTAAGATGGCCAAAAGTGACAGGTGGATGGGACCCCAAATTTGGGTCTCCAGCTCTTTTTGGACTACAATTCCAATCATCCCTGCTAGCTATGGATGATGGCAGTTGTGGTCCAAAAACAGCTGGAAACCCAAGTTGAGAAACCCTGCATCAGGGCAATAGGATGCTGGCAACTCGAAGGGAAGTCAGAGAAGAGGAAAGGAAATGAACGGCTAAAAGCAGCTATAACATGAAAGACTGTGTCAAAACAAGCATTCAAAGAAACCAAAATAAGGTATGTACTGGAGGCACGACAACCATGCCCTGTTCCCAACTACCCCATACTCTACCATCACATTCAGTAGGCTCAAACGGGCTGTGCACATGCAGGAATGCAGAAAAGTGGCAATGGGCACTGAATTCAGCTTTGTAGGGAAATGAGCCCCCCCCCCCTTTTATAACAAAGGTGTTTTAATCTACCCCTTGCGGCTGTGAAGATATGTTTGAAGTGTGTGGGCAATGCCTGTAGAAATCTCAGCAGCCAGACAAATTGCTCAGTAAGGCTTCCTGTGGTCAGAAGGCAGAACTTTACTGCCCTGGAAACATCCTTGCCCACAATTTACAGAATGAGAAACTGTTAATCAAAAATAAATTAAGTAAATATGCCATTTTTGTGAGCTACAGAATTTCACTTTTCTTGGTGCAGAGTTCAGACTGCCTCAACGTATTTTTGAGGACACAAAATTCTTATAATAATCTGAATGTGATCTAGCCCTCTCAGCATGTGAGAGAAGCAGGATGTACACTAAACCATGACTACTAATGAGGGACACATTTGCAAACAAGCAGCTATGTGGAAAGATGCCAAGAACAAAAACCTCACCTGCAGTTCTGCACGTTACAAAAACAGTTTCCCCAAAGCAGCTTAATTAGCCTTTGTGAAAGAAAGAGAAGCTAAACTAGGCAACACTTAAAAATCATTCTCTGGTTCTCCAACTCACTGGAGAGACTTCTTTTCAAATGCACTACTTAATGTTTAAACATGCACCATTCCCAGAAACCAATGCAAAATAGGAGCAAGAACAAACAAGACAGGCTCTCCAAACAGAATTACTTTTTCCAAGCAGTATTAGATCTCTTTCAAAACAAGGCTGCACATTTTGAGTGCCAACAGCTAGTTTTAGAGTACCTTCATACAAATCTATGGCCTTGTTTTTAATCTACTGTCTTAAGAGTAGACTGTTTGCAACAGAATCATGCTTTTTGCTCGCCAGTGGCCCTTTGTAACAAATGGCAGCCTTTGTGTCATTCTGAATGCTACACATTTCAACAGTGATATCATAGCCATACTACATCCTTCCTTTGTCTTTCCAAATATACATTCAAACTACCTCCACACTGTATAACTGTGTAAAAATCCCCTTTATCTTATTTACTTACTTACAGCATTTGTACCCCACACCCTACCCACAAGGTGACACTAGAGGGACAGGGAGGGAAGAGGAAAATCTAAACCTGAACTAAGGCACCAATTATTAAACAGCTGTCTATTAAACAGCTGTCTATTATGATGACCAGCTGTCAGTTCAGGGGCAGGAGGTGCCTGATGGAGCTGGTCTCTCACCCCAGAACTGATAGAGTGAGCAAGGCGGCCTGATGGAGTTGGCCTGTCCAATATGGTTCTGGGGCTGATAGGAACTGTAGTTTGAAATATCCGGAGGGCACCCAGTCAGCAAAAGCTGCTGTATGCAATGCCCTGTCTGTGCTGGACTGATTATGAATCCAATTGGTGGGGTTCAGCTATGAGTCAGCCATTCCTAGTTCAAATCTCAACTTAGCTCACACAACTATCCTTTGTCCAATTGCCTAAGAGACTTGTAGGAGAAAGAGATGGAAACTGCACAGCTCAGGACCAGTGGTGTCCAAACTTTTTAAAAAGAGGGCCAGATTTGATGAAGTGAAGAGCTCTGAGGGCCAACCAAAGTTTTTGACCTTTTTTTTAGGCTTGAGGTTGTCGAGGGTTTTTTAGGATTTTACCCCAGGAAATAAAATGCCACAGAAGCCAGATTAAACCGACCGGTGGCCAGATTAGCCCCCCCCCCCCCGAAACAGACTTTGGACATGCCTGTACTACTGGAAAACTTAAGGTCAGACACTTCAGTGGTGGCCAAACTTGGCCCTCCAGCTGTTTTTGGACTAGAACTCCCATCATCCCTAGCTCACAGGACCAGTGGCCAGGGATTATGGGAACTGTAGTCCCAAAACAATTGAACGGCCAAGTTTGGTCAGCACCGCTTTAGGGTTTATTTTGTCTACAACCAAAAGGGCTAAAACACTTTATTCTCATTTTTAAGAAATGCAAATGCAAAACAAGGGTTGTATTTGCAGATAATGTGACACAAAAACCCAGTTATTACCCACAACCTGACACCTATCATATGTAACAGGCAGGCTGAGGCTGGGCTGCATTGCAACCAAGTGTTATTTATACCCACATCTGCATTCATGAGGGCAATGCACCTACCAGCTACATCTTAGCAATAGCAACCTTCCTTGATTTCTGTGCATGTTTCAGAGCAAGGGTATGGAACCTTTGGCCCTCCAGATGTTACTGGGCTCCAGCTCCAATCATCACTAGCCAGAATGGCTAACAAGTCAGTGGCGATGTAAATTGGGAGTCCAGAAACATCTGCAGATGAAATGATTCCCCATCCCTGTTTAAGCATTACAGATCCTGGGAGTAGCCATGGCCAAGGACAATGAGCTGTTGGTTCACACATTATTTTGCTTCTATGACTGAAGACATAGGTCAGACATCTACAACAACAAAGAGCGTCACAGTGACATGTGGTCTATCCTTGGACTATCTGACTATCAAGGTCTGGTGAAGAACATAATCTTTTTTTGGTAAAAGCAGCACTCCCCTCCAGCCGTCCCCCTGGAGCTACTCCTCCTCAAAAAGAGGAAAACTTTTTGGATTAAACCACTTTAAGTCCACACGTTTTTCCACTTATAATCAATAGCAGCTGAGGTGTTCGAGTAGTAGCTGAGTAGCACTAAGGCAGGCATCCCCAAACTCAAGCTGTTTTCCCCAAGCTGTTTTGGGACTACAACTCCCATCATCCCTAGCTAACAGGACCAGTGGTCAGGGATGATGGGAACTGTACTGTAGTCCCAAAACATCTGGAGGGCCGCGTTTGGGGGTGCCTGCACTAAGGTATATGGGAGATTATATCTCCCTCTCAGCAGCCCATACCTCAGACTTTAGAAAAGGGGAATTATGTTAGGAACTCTAAATACTAAGCTTCACTGTAACATGCAGTTTAGCCCTGTGTCAACAGCATACAATTTATTCATTTTAAAAGCTACAATTCTGCTGCTTCCAAGTCCCAGAGGGCTCATCCTAAAGTAAATGTAATAAATATCTATTATCTTACGGTTTCAGATCTTTTGAATTCCACATCATGTCACAAGAATGAATGTAACACAGCTAGGCTACAACCCTGGACACACTTATTTGAGTGTTACTCTGAGCTCATTGGCATTTGTGACTCAACACAGCATGTTTATTCTTTTCCCCCACCCCTCCTCTTCAGCTTCTGGAATTTCTCTTATGCCCAGGCCACAAGGGTTTTACTTGCACATTCTTTGCCATCCACTGATATCACTGAGCAAGGGAGGAGTTCACAATGCATAAAGCATCCTCAGTGAACTTTGGAAACAGTGATCTCAGAAAGCGGGAACACAGTGACTGGATCCCTAACCAGTGGCTGTATTTATAAATCTTGTGTTATACTGTTACGTGACATGAACAAAGGGAGGGAAATTCCACATTTAAATGACTGATTGTACACAGGGAGCCTCAAAAAGAATAAACAAACCACAGCTTGGTTAATGCAACCAGGCGGAGAGCCAATCACTTATGGCATCAATTTCTCCCCATGCCCTCAGACCCTCCAAACATGGCAAAGCCTAAGACATTCAGCCATCTCTGTAGATCTTGGGGGCAAGGCTTTGCTTTAGGACATTTTCTGCAGCTGGGTGGAAGGTGTTTCCCTGTAGCACTACTTAATCATGCTGTAGTGTGTGTGTGTGTGTGTGTGCGCGCGCGCGCGCGCTGCAGCTTTGTGGATCCAGCCAAACTTGAGGGTCTTTTCCATCTGGTCATCACTCCACCAGGAAGGAGGGAAGTGACTGGATGGAAAAGATCTAGGTGTTGGGTTCAGATTTGGTATTTACACATTTTGCAGCTACATGAGATCATACTACACAAAAGCAGCTTCTGTGGAGAAATAAATAAGAGAAGCATTTTTTTACACTCCTCCACAACTCCATTATTTCAAAAATGGTTGCTGGAAGTGTGCCAGATCTGCTTTGCCACTTGGCTGGCCACTTCAGAAATGGCCAGCTCTCTACATAGTCGCAAGCATTATAAAGTATATTTATAGGCAGGCAGCCATCATAGCATTAACAGCAATCTAAATCTACCTAGAATATTAATGGGGAAACCCAGCCAGATGGTCAGGGTATAAAGAATAAATTATTATTAATTATTATTATTATTATTATTATTATTATTAAAATAAAATGAGAGGTAATAAATAGTCTTCTGTATGGAAGGTCCCAACGTAAATTTATGATGTTATTATAACTGGCATTAGTGCCATGGTATACTGCAAGATGAGGGACGCGGGTGGCGCTGTGGGTAAAAGCCTCAGCGCCTAGGGCTTGCCGATCGAAAGGTCGGCGGTTCGAACCCCCGCGGCGGGGTGCGCTCCCGTTGCTCGGTCCCAGCGCCTGCCAACCTAGCAGTTCGAAAGCACCCCCGGGTGCAAGTAGATAAATAGGGACCGCTTACTGGCGGGAAGGTAAACGGCGTTTCTGTGTGCTGCGCTGGCTCGCCAGATGCAGCTTGTCACGCTGGCCACGTGACCCGGAAGTGTCTCCGGACAGCGCTGGCCCCCGGCCTCTTAAGTGAGATGGGCGCACAACCCTAGAGTCGGACACGACTGGCCCGTACGGGCAGGGGTACCTTTACCTTTTATACTGCAAGATATGGACATTCTACATTTTTACATTTTTAAAACTTTCTGAAACAGTGGTCCTCAAATATGAAACAACCTGCAACTGGGCATACCGTAATAGTATGCAAAGCCTTGAAAATTCTGATACACTGAATTGGACATTTTCAGAACTGGAAAGGCAACTGTACGTTTTGTAGTTTGCGTCCTCATTTGCAATCTTCAGCATGTTTGCACTGACACTTCCAATGCATTTCCACTAGCAATGAAGGGCAGAAACTTGCCCTTCTAAAATAGAAACTGATCTCAACCCCAAGCATATGCCTTACTAAAATCTCCCACTTACCTGTGGCATTTGTTATAGTGAGTGGAAGCCCTTGCAGCTGATGAAGCTGGATCCCAGATCCCAGGGCCCCCAGGTTAATGGTCTGAAGGCCTGGCACAGAGGAAAGCTGAGCGGCATTTACAGTGACAGTGCCACTGGGCAGAGAGGCAGAAGCGATGGGGGTCAGTGTCGTGTTGGTGCTCCCTGTCTGCCCCAGGGAGACTCCTTGCACGGGAGCCAAGGCGATTGTCTGAGCTTGAGGGTTCTGAACCTGGAGATTCTGCAGCTGAATCGTCTGCCAGCTCACCTGCCCATTTGGCCCCATAGTGGGTGTTCGAATAAAGATTGGACCAGTATTGGGGAGAGCCTGGATCTGCAGGTTCTGCAAGGCATCTTGGGTAGTAAAAGTCTGGCCAGCTTGCCCTCCTTGAACAAGCTGAGGCTGCACCAGAATCTGCTGTTGTTGTTGCTGCTGCTGCTGGTTTTGATCAGCATCTTTCTGCTGCCCTTGCTGGACTGTCACTCCAGCCAACTGCAGAGCATCAGTATTTTGAGCACTTCCTGTCCTCTGAGGCGCCTGCACCTGAACGTTTGTTCCCAGAGTGCCGCTGGTGGAAAAATTCATGATGCTCAAATTACCTGTTGTGGTAGTGGTATTGTAGCTGTTGGCATTGGTAAAGAAAGCGGCAGAATTGGCCTGGGACACAGCCGTGCTGGAGGAACTGACAGAGGCGCCAGATGTTGCTGGTTGAGAGCCACTCTCGCTAGAGCCAGAGGTGCTTAGAGTAACCGACTGAGAAGTGGGTGCCAAACTGGCTGCAATGCTATTGACAGGCAACAAAGTGATATTGCCATTCAAAGCCAGTGGCACATTAGTGACATACTGAGTCTGCCCTGACAGGGCATTCACTCCCTGAATGGGGACAGCCTGCTGCAGAAGATTTGGCATGGCAGCCAGGATATTGCCTGTCCCCGACTGATTTGCAATGAGCTGCTGGTTCGTCCCAGGGATAATCTGCAATTGGCCATTGGCATCCTGTTGGACGCTGACTTGGGTAGGGGTGGTGGCAAACTGCAACTGTTGGCCATCCACAGTTTGAAACTGGGGAATCACCCGGTACTGAATACTGGGTATCATTCCTGGCAAGCCCGTGAGGACTTGCTGGCCCTGCATGTTAGGGGTGGTAGTAACCACATACTGCCCTGTGGTAGCAGGTCGGTTTTTGGATGACGAATCATTCTCATCATTGCTTGTGTTCCCTTGGTCTTTGGGGGAGTCAGAAGTCCCAGAGGGAGTAGAAATTAGTTGCCAGCCATTTGCATTCTGGGAGATGTGAGTTGCAGCAGTGAGGTCCAGTTCATTTGAGCCTCCTTGTTGTCCCTGTGATCCATCAGCATTCTCATTGGGAGATTCAATCCTGCTGCATGTTGCAGCCAGCAGAGCCAGAGGGGAAGGCTGGGACTCCTATCAGGAAACACAAGACAGAGAGAGGAGGAGTCAGGCACTTGCCTCACTTTCCGGGGGTTTGTACAAAACAAGGAAAAGCTAAGGAGGAGCATACAAGCAAGACAGCCTATTGGAAGCTGTTGAACCACCCACTACAAGCAGCAGAGACTGCAAACATCGGACTCACAAGCACAGTACAGATCAGCTGCAGGGAGAACAGCTTTCACCTCCAAGAAGATTTCTAACAAATACATCCTCCACCACGGTGTGACTTTCAATCACAAACAGCCTTCAAAACCCACAGAAGGCAGTGATGGCCACCAACCTAGATGGCTTTAAAAGAGGATTAGGCAGATTCATGGAGGATAGGACTATCAAAGGCTACTAGCCAAGATGGCTATCCTTTGCCTCCACAGTTGGAGGCAGCAATACTTCTAAATACCAGATGCTGGATGCCATCTTCTTGTGCTCAAATCCTGCTTGCTGGTCTCCCACAGGCATCTGATCAGACACTGAACCCACAAACCAAAGGCACCCTGGGCAAGACAGCTGCACAGTCCAACAATTCTTAAATGAGGAAGTTCAAATTATAAAGCTCACAGGGGCACTGCTAGAATTTGGAGGAGCAGCCTTTAATTAACCCACCATCTTCTATGACTGCAAAAATTGCTCTCTATTTCCCCCCTACTCAGTCTCCAAGCACAAAAGGCTGCAAGAATTCTAACATTTTAGAGCATGTTCATGAGGAATGCAAATGAAACTGTTCCATCCAATGAAACTGAAAACGAGAACGTTTCATCATAATATTCATCAAAGCTCCACGCATACACACAGAAACCGTTGCCTATTTTAGAACCCACACTTACCTGGCCCTCACAGTTCCGTCCATCATTACTGCAGCTTTCTTCTACCTTCTCAGTTTTGACAATAACCATTTCTTCTGAAATATCATGGTCTGCATGGGAATTGGGGGTGCAGGAAGGAAAAAAGAAAAGAGTGAAGACAGAATGGTCAAACACGCACTACAAAGCAAGCAGCTCTACCAGGAGGAAGGACACAGTTTGAAAATACAGATTTAAAAAATAGGGACTTTGAGCATTCTAAGTACGTAGTTACTGTTAAGTAATTCACTTCACTGCAGACAACTCAAAAGTATTATTTTTACGCACCTGGTGTTGTATTGGATAATGGAAAATATAAGTACCTTGCCTTTGGAAAATATGCTGAAAAGTATCTAGCACCCTGAAGAGCTAACCTTGAGTTAAGATCTGGGGGCGGGGGAGCAGAAGAAAGAGAGTGTGTTGTGGGGCAGATGTTAGAGAAAACAGAGAGCACTAGTGTAGTGAACAGTGCTGGGATTGGACCAGGAAGACCCATACGCCAATTCCTGCTTAGCTACGAAGTTTATGAGCGTCCCTGAGCAAGTCTCAGCTTGACATACCTCACAGAACTGTTCAGAGGATGAGAAGGAATGATATCATGAACTCCTTCAAGAAAGGGCAGGGTACAAATGCAACAATAACATCTCGGTTAGCCTTTAAAGGGCACCAACCAACATACCAGAAGGGGGTGATATGCATCATGTATCATCAATGAAAAATTAAGTCAGATGGAGGTGGCAGAGTAGTGGGAGGAGAAGCTGCTGTCACATATGTGAAAATAAGATGGCCTCTCCTCACTGAACCAAGCTGTTGTTAATCATAATTGTTGCTCTACAAACTCACAACCACCACATAAAGCAGGCTAGGCAAAGAAATGGTGACTCAAGCATTGTCATATCTCTTGCACCACAAGGATCACTTCCTCCTCACTACTGGTATAGAAGCAATTTTCCAAGCTCTAGAGACGCACATTAAATAGCAAATCTGGCAAACAACTCAGGCTGAAAGCCATGTGGAAAACAATCTTCTTAGCAGATCCAATAGACTCTGTGCTCCCAAACTACCATATACAACATGAACAGCTTTTTCCGTGTTTCAGTATTTAAAACTCAGTTGGGAATACCACCCAGTATTCTCAGAGTGCCCTTTACATCTGCATATTGGGGTTTTTTTGCCCCCAAGGGGAATTATCAAGCCTATTTTTAACAGCCTTCCCCATAACATGTCACTAAAATTATAATTTTCAGTGGCATGCTGCTATAAGAAAAACACACTTCTTTATTTGGTAGTGATGTATCAAGATACCCTGGAACCCCCTTCATACCTTTCAGGTATGAAGCCATAACAAAAATAAAAATCATCTGTCTGGACCTGGGGAAGCAGCTGCATGAGTCAGTCCCAAGTGGCGCAGGAGTTATGCAAACTTCTGACTTGCAGTTGACCCAACAAGGAGCTCTGCACTGCTCTAAGCCTTGCATATGCTTAGTGTATAGCAAAGCTTGCCAAGCAAAGTTTTAAGTCCTAATCATCGAAAAGTTCCAAGTGAATACAACCTTATTTTAAGGCCCCAAACAGTTTATGGAAATGACAGCACAGGAGAAATTATCTGGGAAATCCAAGTGTGCGTGGGTTTGTTTTAAAAAAGAAGCAGCAGTAAGTTACTGAAGACTGCCTTCCTATATTTAGGAGATGTGTGTCTGGCCTATGGGCCTAGGCCTCTCTTGAGTTTCTGTCAACCAAATCGTAGAGTTGGAAGGGACCACGAGGCTCTCCAGCCCAAACCCCATTGCAATGCGGGAATCTTTCGCCCAACGTGGGGCTCGAACCCACCACCTTCTTGCTCCACCTCGGAAGCAAAGTGCTTAGCCCAGCTATACTTACTCCTGCCACCCTCCCCCCGCCCCATGCGGGCAACCTCGTGAGGGAAAGCAACTCTGCACATGCTCAGGAACGCTCCTCCGCTCCTTCACTAACCTCGGTTATTCTGAGAATTACCGCAGCTTGAGCCCCAGCTCAAGTCGCGCAGTGAAGGCAACCTATTTTCCCTTTCCTTTAAACACAAGACAAGCGCCTGCTTCTGCCTCACGGGCTTTGGGCCGCACGGCGACGGAGGCTCCTCCGGTGGTGGAGGAGGAGCGGTGGCTGCTACGGCGGAGGCTGCTCCTTCCTTCCCGCCGGGAAATTCCCACCCCCAGCCGTATTCCTGCCCCCACCTGGTCCCGCCCTGGACACCCCCCCGGCACACCCGCGCGCTGGGCCCTGCCCTGGTCCCTGAGGCGACTTGCCGCCCTCCTCCTCCTCCTCCTGCGCTTCCTCCACCCCCCCAATGCACTAGCCCCGCTCCCCTTCCCGCGGGCCCCTCCCCGAAGGGCTTCCCCTGCCCTCGGCGGCTCCCGCCCGGCTTGCCCTCCCCTCAGCCGGGCTCGTTACCCCTCCCCCGCCCGGGTCCCTCCGCCCGGGGGGCTGGGCGGGGCGGGGCGCGGGGAGGGAGGCGGCGCCCCCCGCCCGCCCGCGATGGTCCCGTCCTTACCGCTCATGTTGGCCGACGGGGGGAGGCGAACCCAAGTGGCGCCAGAGGGGTGGGCGGGGCGGGGGGCAGCGAAGTCGGTGACGAGGCAGCCTAACCCCACCGGTGACCGCCAAAGGGTTGGCGAGGGGAGGGAGCTGGCGCCGACACGGCCCCGAACTCGAGGGCACGCCTCCCGCCGCGGCGCCCAATCACGGAGCCAGGAGGGGATGGGGGGAGGCGGGGGTTAGCCCTGAGTGGCGTGACGCCCGGCCATTAGGGCGGAAACGAGGCGGGGTTTTGTCGCGGGGCGGGAGGGGGAAGTGAGAGAGGAGCAGGAGTAATTTACGAAAAGCTCCGCGGCGGTAGGCCTTTCGGGAAACGCCTCTAGGTGAGGCCCCACCCAATGGCGGGAGGGCGTGGGAGGCGGGGCTTGGCCGACAGCTCTTCTGAACTAGCTGTTCCGAGTGGGGCGGGCAGGAGGCAAAGCTAATAACAGGCGGCGCCTACGGCCAATCGCGGGAGGGGGGTTCTGAGGCCTGAACGGGCGTGATGAAATTGTGCGTCTTAACTCGTGATTGAATTGCCTGTAATCCAATCACGGCTGAGGCTCTCCCCTCCGCCCACAAGACCGTTTCGCAAAGTGGGTTTGGGGAGGCCTGGGATAATGCGGGGAATGGCACGGAATGTAGCCAATCAGCTTCCGCAGAGAGAATGGTGAGGGGAAGACGCGTTTCATAGTGATGGAACGCTTAGCCAAACAGCGCCAAGAAGAGACCGGAGAAAAACAGTCTGCCCCAATGAGGAAGAGGGACCTCCTTAAATTGGCCAATGGGCGAGGCGGTCCCTGCGGTGTGTGGTTGTTTTTTGAGGAAAAGGTGACGGATGTTGGCGCCATTTTAGCTCAGGCGCAGAGGGCGACGTCCCGCCTTTTTCCTCCATTTAATGAAGCGGTTATGTAACAAGTGACGCGAGTGGGGTTTTTTTTTCTTCCTGGGAATTGGCGAAAGGTCTCACATCCGGTCATAACTTGAGTGGCTGGTTGTGACGGTTAATTTTTTTTTTTTTCGCTAATTGCCAGCGAAAAGAAGATGGAGACCGGGGAGGAGGAAGGGTCAGGTGTTTTTCTTTTCTCACGTGTTGCGCATAACACGCTTTTTAGAGCAGCAGCCACAGAAATTAGAAACGGTGCCCTTCAGAAAAGGAGCGGGTCAATCTGCACGTGCTCAGAGGCACGTGAGTTTAAGGGCCAAGGTTTCTAGGCGGATCTGGTTCTTCTGTATTATTTTTGTTACCAAAATCAATAGTTAAAGGTGTTCGTTTTCCCCACAGCCTCTTTTTCTCCTGGTTTCATCCGTGTTCTGGTCTACACTGAAACTCCACTGTTGTCAGTGGAAGCTGAATTTCAGTTCCACACATGTTTACCCAAATACCCAGTGGGTCAGTTACAGGTGACACTTAATATCTGTCATGCAATTGTAAGAAATCAATCTTGTAGTGTGGCAGCACCTAAACTTTGGAACTTGCTGCCGGTTGACATCAGGCAGGCACCTGCTAAAAGTATTTTTGGTTAGACAAACCCGCATTGCAGGGGGTTGGACTAGATGACCGTCAGGATCCCTTCGAGCTCTACAACTGCTTCTACACAGATGTCTGTTTTGATTTGATTTTAGTTTATCACTGAATGTTGTTTTTAATAGCTGTTTTTAACTGTTTTGCCAATACAGTAATTCATTTCATTTTAGGTTTACAATCAAGTTACATCCAATCAGAGCTACCTTGTGCAATAATTTCCTTTTGGTCTTAACTCTGGCTAATGCAAACTGGTCAGTGTAGGGTGAAAAGGTCAGCAAAATGAAATCCATCTAAGCAAGTGTTTAGATAACCAGACCCTCAAGGATTGCATAGAGATTTCCATATAATAGGAACAATATCTTCAAATAAAGCTTTAGGTGTTGGTCGGATAACTCATGTCTGAATCCTGTATCTGTTATCTCACCTTAAGAATGTAAAAAAGCTGCTGCTGGACCAAAACAAAGACCCATCCTGTTCTCAGTGGCCAGCCAGAAGTCTATAAGAAGCCCAAGAGCAGGACCTGAGTGGAATAGCACCATCTCTACTTGTAATTCCCAGCAATTTTTATCCAGAGATTGCCTCTGGCACTAGACATAGAGCCATCATGACAAGTAGTCATTGATAGCTTTATCCTCCATGAATTTATTTGATCCTCTTTTAAAGCCATCCAAGCTGGTGGCCACCACATCTCATGGAAGCAAACTCTAACTATGCACTGTGAAAAAGTACCTTCTTTTGGCTGTCCTAGATCCATACCATGCATTGTCTTACAGACTTCTATCATGTCCCACCCCCTGTTGTTTTCCAAACTAAAAAGTTGCAACCTTTCCTCCTAGGGAAGTTGCTCCAGCATCCCCCCCCCCTTCTGAATCTGGTAATCCCTTCTTCCTCCAAATTGAAAGGAGGATCTGACCAAGTGTCCTGCGTTAATCTGTAGCTGGGATTTCCCTGGTTGGACCCACTTTGCCTTCCTCTTCCATTCCAGGGATGGATAAATCATTTCACATGGACTCAGAGAAACTTTTTATACCACAAGGTCAAATATTTTCATCCCTGGATAAGTTAACGGAGGAAATGTTGAGCTAAGAAATAAGTATCCATGCAGGCCTTCATTTGCACCCGTGTGAAAACAAAATAAAAGTGAGGCTCTGGTGCCCTGCAGCAAAAAAAAATATAAGCAGGATAGTTACTGCTTCATAAACTTTATAACGCAGATGAAGTGAAGTTATTTTTCCCCTTGTAAGTGTTGGAAGCTTCAGGAAAGACACAAAGGATAGGACAAAATTCTGCTATTCTTTCAGTGTTGCACTGGATATCCTCTTGGAGAAAGCCCAAAATGAGCGTGAGAGCAGCTGCTGTCTATGTTAAACCAGCAGCTGGAAAATTCTGCCTCTACCAAGTATGACCTCACGCCCCCATTCCCATCCGAGGGAATTGTTTTCATTTCACTTCTGGAGATCAGAGGGCAACCAAAATAACAGTGTTTCTTAGTCAACCGTTCAAGTTTTGAAGAGAAGGAAAAGCCTCTAGACAGAAATGCAGAGGATGCAGAACCCATAAAAGCAAAGAAACAGCAGCTACAAAAAAAACAACATGGAAACTTCTGCTGCTGCCTGGTTTCATATCTAAGTGCTTTGAAGAGTTGCGAGGGGCAGGGCTATAGTTGCTGATCCAGAGACATCATCGAAAAGCTCTTCAGCAGGAACTGGAGCCACTGGTTAAGTGGATATAAGCAGATCTGCTTGAGCTGCAGGCCAGCTTGATATTCAGGATCCACTTTGCCCTGTTGGTTTCCTGGGTAGAGGGCCCTGTGGCGCAGTTGTACTGTCCCCAGTTTGTCATGTTAAGATCACCCAGCCCTCCATCATGTATAAGCAAAGCAGAGGAGTCAAGTCAGTCAAGTGCCCAATACACAACCAGAAGAAAGGCTTCTGTCTCACACAGTGACAGCCCCTACCTCCTGGCATTGTCACGCTTCTTGCTTCATCCCTGAGTGCCCCCTGGACATCTTCCTGACTAGGTGACTGCCTGGAAAATGACACCTGTCAATCAGCACCCACCTGGGCCATGGATCTTGAAAGTCACTGATTACCAAAATACCCATATTCTGGTGCTGTGTTTTATTTCAGTTTTTATCTACGTACTTGCTATTTCTCCCCATCTTCCTTATTACCTATACTTTTGAATAAACTGATGGATTGGATTCTCGAGGTGTACTGGTTTCTGGACACACTCAAGAGCTGGTTGTCCTCCCACATTCCTTAGACATCTTGGGCTATGTAACTGGTAGTCACACAGTGCTGGGAGAGCAGGAGGGGAAGCAGACTGAAGTTGCTAAGCAGGAGATTTGGAATTCAGCTGTCTGTTAACCTACCATAACCCATTGCTGTGTGTGACACAAAAGCAGGTAGTGGCAATAGAAAGAATATGATGGGTCACCCAGTGCCGCTAGGCTACCTTGTAGGCTTGGTGCTGGAGCGGGGCCACCCTACCATTACAGCACAAACACAATGAGCACTCAGGTTGGTTGGCCAGCTGGCATCCCATTACCATGCAACTCTGGTTCAGTAACTTGTGTCTGACAGACTTCGAAATGGATGATTTCTTGCAAAGGGACTTATGCTTTTCTTTATTAGCTTGCTTTGGACTCTCAGCATCTGGTAGGATTGCAGCTTTAAAAAGATTTGGTAGAATGCTTGTGCCAAAAAACAGCATTGCAGGCAAAAAAGAACAACAGCTTTTCCTGGCATTGCATGAGGAAGGGGGAGTTCAACTTCATGTTGGTCTGTCATGCAGCTTTTAAAGGCACAGAACCCTTGTTTTTGGAAGGAGATTGCCAAGACGGTTTGTAACACTTCAGGACTACTGCCACAAGAACTATTGAACCAGTTGCTGCATAATCCCGGGCTGAGGCCTAACTCAGGCAGCTACCTAGAAGCAGGTGTGCTTTGGTCCCAGAGCTTCCTTTGGGTACAGAAAGGAATATATCCTCATCCAAGAACTGGAAAGGAAAACTAGGATCTAGAAATTGGAAAGGCCTTATATACCGTATTTTTCGCTCCATTGGACGCACTGGATCATAGGAGGGGGAGAACAGGGAAAATTTTTTTTTCCTTGTTCTCCCCCTCTAAAACAAGGTGCGTTCAAGGTACATTCACCAGAGCTTGTGGGGCTGGCGGTGGGGGGAAGCGCTGCTTTCCCCCACCGCCAGCCTCAAAGATCCCTGAAGCCTCTGGAGCGCAGCGCCCCGCTGCCCTGCACAGGTTTGCGCGCAGCCGTCCCCAAGCTAGAGCAGCGAAACGGAGCCCTCTGCCTCGCTGTTCTGGCTTGGGAACAGCCTTGCTAGCTTCTGCAGGACAGCGGGGTGAAGGCACCCCGCTGCCCTGGAGAGGCTGAGTGCGCAGCCACCCCCAAGCTAGAGGAGCGAGACGGAGCGCTCCGCAGTGCTCCGTCTTCCTGTTCTGGCTTTGGGCTTAGCGGTGCAGCCTGCATTCGCTCTATAGGACACACACACATTTCCCCTTAATTTTTGGAGGGGGAAATGTGCGTCCTATAGAACGAAAAATACGGTAAATAATATTTCTTCTGCCCTTGCCTTGTCAAAATGGCAAAGAGTTCTGCACTTCAAGCACCTAGAATGATGAATCTACACCCTAGGTCCAGTACCTGGTATGGCTGCCTATGGCCCTTACTTGGACTGGCCTGGATCTCGACCAAAGTAACTTCTATCCAAGTTTCACTGGCTGCAACTAGATTTTTGCTTGTTTCATAAGAGCCCCACTGGATCAGACCAAATGCCAATCAAGTCCAGCATACCTTCAGATGAAAATAGGGACATTCTCTTCTCCACCAGTAATACTGATGGCATCCTGTTCTTATGGTGGCCAACCAGATATGTACGTCAGTTGTTCCCAAACTCCCCCTTCCCCACAGGCCACCTGAAAGTGGCTGAGGGTCTTGGCGAACCACTTAAGGGTTTTCCTGCTCGTCATAGCAATTGCAATGTGCTCTGCTAGACGTTGCATGATTTTTAATTGTCTTTAGTGGACATGCTGCAAACCATGCAAATGAAGCTCATGAAAGACCAGCAGACCACAGTTTGAGAACCCTTCACCGATGGGAAGCCTGCAAAGCAGAACATGAGCACAACAGCTTGGGATCTCCCAGCAACTGGTATTCAGCAATATAGCAAGCAGCAGAAGGCATGAGAACAGATCATTCGAGCATCATCTGAGCACTAGGACTGGTGGGGGCTGCTGCTATCTCTTTTCTCTGGGTCAGATCTTGTAATTCTGCTGTAGAACTGCCCCATTGACAATTCCAGCTTGGGAATGAGACGCTTAAAGAACATTTTGTCATCTAGCTTGCGGTTAAGTAGCTTTTATATTAGTCTGGAGCCAGTGAGTCATAATTACAACTAATTGCCTGTTTACTGAAAATGCAGATTTTACTCAGCATCTTCTTCAGCAACTAGTTCTCACCAGGGAGGCGGTTCAGAAACTTAACTGATTTTGGCTATCTTCCTCTGTTATTATTACATTAAATAAATATAATTGAGGAAAGGAAGGATGCCGTCTGTGTAAAAGAAATGGGAATCAGCGGACCACATCCTGTTCATCTTCATAGAGGTGAGAGGGAGATTAACACATGTATCCATTTTTATTTAAGTTGTACTGTATACCAACTTTGTATTTCAAGAACTCACAAAGCAATTTACATCTCAACAAAAACCAAAGTAGATTACATATATAAAAATACAAATTCTACACAGCAGATGGCAATAATAACAAAAACAGCATTATACATTTTAAGTACCAAAATTGAGCAATAAATCTCTAAACATTGGGCTGTATCCAACATTTTCTGTCCACTAGCATGGATAGGTGAGTTTTAATGTTCTGCTGGTGGAAACTTGTTGTGCAACAGATTGCACAATTTATTGTGCAACAGAGTTACCAGCAAACTGCTTATGCAGTCTCTTGCACAACACATTTCTGCTGGCGCAAAAATCCATAGAACACGTTTACCATTAAGTGACTTTAATGTAGCACTACATTGGATACAACCCAATATTCATGAGTATGCAAGTAAAATGAACGCAAAAGTGAATCATACCAAATCAAGAAGCAAGAGCGTACAACATAATTACAATATATAGCTTTTAAAAGTCCCTGAATATTGCAAAAAAGCATCCTCACATTTAATAATACAAATCAGGAATTCAAGAACCATAGCAAGAACCCACTCATTAAACAATCACCTTTCACCCACTCACATTTTATTGACTTATTTATTGCTCCTCTCAATTCTCACTTCAGCAAACCTCTCAAAGATTCAACAGCCAATAAGCATGCCCAAATCCAACAGGTGAAAACAACTCTTACCTAGGGAGATCAGGAGCCCTTCCTCCTTCAACCCACTGTCACCCCAGGAGGATTTAGCCATGGCCAGCAACAACTTCTGGGTCACAAGCTCACGAGGAGCATCTCAGTTGATCAAACAGCAATAAAGCATTTCTCTGTTCAAAGAACAATAGTGCCCCAAGGAAAAAAGACATTGGCAAAGGACAAATCCTAGCAGGACTAATCTTCACGCCATTTATAATCCTTTAATCTTGTCTATGACTAGAGACTGGCTGTGGTTGTACTAACTCAGAAGCTACTTGTGAAAATTCATGGAAAATACAGAACTACATTTATTTAATTGTAAATACCGTATTTTTTGCTCTATAAGACTCACTTTTTCCCTCCTAAAAAGTAAGGGGAAATGTGTGTGCGTCTTATGGAGCGAATGCAGGCTGCGCAGCTATCCCAGAAGCCAGAACAGCAAGAGGGATTGCTGCTTTCACTGCGCAGCAATCCCTCTTGCTGTTCTGGCTTCTGAGATTCCGAATCTTTTTTTTCTTGTTTTCCTCCTCCAAAAACTAGGTGCGTCTTGTGGTCTGGTGCGTCTTATAGAGCGAAAAATACGGTAAACGTACAGTGGTACCTCGGGTTAAGAACTTAATTTGTTCCAGAGGTCCGTTCTTAACCTGAAACTGTTCTTAACCTGAAGCACCACTTTAGCTAATGGGGCCTCCTGCTGCCACCGCGCCGCCAGAGCACGTTTTCTGTTCTCATCCTGAAGCAAAGTTCTTAACCTGAGGTAATATTTCTGGGTTAGCGGAGTCTGTAACCTGAAGCGTATGTAACTTGAAGCGTCTGTAACCCGAGGTACCACTGTAATTGCAACTTGAATTGTCCTATTATTTTTGCTTAAATGATAATGTGGGTGTCTATACCGGTTCTGGATCTCACCGCATACAACTCCAGCATCTTCCCAGCTCCTGAATCTAACCCAGATTTTCTTCTTTCACAGTGTGGTTATGCAGGGTCATTAAATAAGAATAAACAATGTGACGCGCGTCTGAGTGAGAGAGACCTGTACTGTGAAGTGGTAAGTGAATACTCCACTAAAAATTATGAGAACAGCTTCAGAATTTAATACTCATTTCATTTATTCATCTTAGGACTGGTACGCAACTTTTCATTTTTTTAAAAATGAAGACTGAAAATATACTTTAAATTCTCAGTTATGGTTTTACTTCATAGCAATCACCCCCCTATGAGATAGGTCACTGATATTCCCATTTCACAGATACGCGAGGTTGAGAACCAATTGTGGTGTAGAGGTTAAGTGTGTTGGACTAGGACGACCAGGATTCAAATCCCTGCCCAGCCGTGGAACTCACTGGGTGTTCTTAGGGACAGTGGCAGTCTCTCTGCCTAGCCCACCTCACAGGGTTGTTGAGCGGATTAAAACGGGAAGACAGCCATGTCACACACCACCTTGAGCCTGGAGGAAAGGTGGGCTAGGAATGCAATAAAGAAACAAACAAACAAAAGATGACCTAACCTAACCTGGGGAGAAAACAGCAAAGACCTGATGAAGAGAGCACAGCAGAGGTTATATTTTCTGAGAATCCTCCGGAAAAACAATCTCTCAAAGGACCTGTTGATGGCATTTTACCATGGCACTGTGGAGAGTGTATTAACTTATGGTGTGTGTGTGTTTTGGGAGCTGCACGGCCAGCAAAAAAACAATGCTGTCCAGGGTTGTAAAGACTGCAGAGAGAATAATTGGGTGCACTCTTCCCAGCTTAGATCAAATCTATGCTGCCAGGTGCCATAAAAAAGCGGCAGAGATAGCGCGGGATAGTACGCACCCCGGAAATGATCTCTTTCAGCTTCAGCCTTCTGGAAGAAGGTATAGGGTTATAAAGGCCAGGCCTAGCCACCTGAGAAACAGTTTCTAGGCAAATGCAATTCTGGTTCTAAACGCAGCATAAGGGGTCTCTATAGTACAGTGGTGCCTCGCAAGACGAAATTAATCCGTTCTGCGAGTGTCTTCGTCTAGCGGTTTTTTCGTCTTGCGAAGCAACGCTATTAGCGGCTTAATGGATTAGCGCTATTAGCGGTTTAGCGGCTATTAAAGGCTTATCGGCTTAGCGGATTAGCTGCTAAAAGGCTATTAAAGGCTTAGCGGCTTAGATAAAGGGGGGGAAGTGAAAAAAAAATCTCAAGACTCGCAAGACATTTTCGTCTTGCGAAGCAAGTCCATAGGGAAATTCGTCCTGCGAAGCAACTCAAAAACGGAAAACCCTTTCATCTAGCGGGTTTTCCGTCTTGCGAGGCATTCGTCTTGCGGGGCACCACTGTATAGTGTATTTTAAAATGGGGTTTCAGAGTTTTTAGGGGGTTTTGAATGTTTTATGTAGTTTTTCAATTTCATTGTTCTGCATGGCAATAAAGATATCGTATATCGTTTATGAGTATGCCCATTGAATACCAAAGACAGAATCCAGAAGCGTAGCGTGAGGATCTTTATCAGAAAAATGTCACCTGGGCAGGTTGGGGGTGGGTGAGGGAGTAATGTTGCACTCAAGCCCCTCTGCCTATGGTGTTCCCCGCCTTAACTATTAGCAGCAGTGATGTGGGATGAATCACTTTTTTTCAGCCGGAACGCAAACTCCTTTCCAGTACCTCTTAGGTGGGTGCCATTGCCATTATAGGAGAGCAAGGAAGGCGTTCATGGTGAGTTCCGTCACCTCTTGTTCTAGAAAAATAGCACTGGATCAATCAATGGAAAAAGCAGCTCTCACAGCACCTCCGTGAAGTTTTAAAGAGTTTGTTGCCTAGGGGAGCACAATAGCCCCCCTTCCCATGATCCATGCAATCAGTGGCCATTGTCAGGTATCCTGGCAGACAGGATTTCTGCTGTAGACCACCTCCTCTGCTGTAGATCACCTTCTGTGATGTATGTATGATGTTTTAGGGGGTTGGTCTTGGTCTACAAGGTGGGCAATTTCAAAAGTCTATATAAGGGCTTGCGCACCATTGTTCAGGGTTCTCCCTTTTGCGTGTGGTGAGTGAGGACCCTGTTGCAACAGTTTAATAAAGATCAGGCTTACTAGCCATTTTGCTTCTCAATATACAGTCGTACCTTGGAAGTCGAACGGAATCCGTTCCAGAAGTCCGTTTGACTTCCAAAACATTTGGAAACCAGAACGCGGCTTCTGATTGCAGCCAGTCAGAAGCCACGTCGGAGGTTCGGCTTCCAAAAATAGTTCACAAACCGGAACACTCACTTCCGGATTTGCGGCATTCGGGAGCCAAAACGTTTGAGAACCAAGCTGTTTGAAAACCAAGGTACGACTGTACTCTGGTTGGCCTCTGTTGTTTTCTCCAACAGATAGGGGAGCCACTATATGGGCCCTTGGATACCCCATAAGAGCAAGGAGCAGTTTTTTTTCTTCTTATAACACATGCATTGACTGAACGGGAAGCAGCATCACATCCACTGACCCCATCCCTGACCGCCACGCATTCACCAGAAGGTGAGGTTCTATATGTGCACATCTGTCCGTGCGCAGAATCCTCTGTTTTGCCACCTTCCACTGTGTAGAGATGGGACAAGACAGTGGACAAAGTCTATTCCAGTATACCTGAAGGAGCGTCTCCACCTCCATCGTTCTGCCCGGACACTGAGGTCCAGTGCCGAGGGCCTTCTGGCGGTCCCCTTGCTACAAGAAGCCAAGTCACAGGGAACCAGGCAGAGGGCCTTCTCGGTAGTGGCCCTGTGGAATGCCCTCCCACCAGATGTCAAAGAGAAAAACAACTACCAAACTTTTAGAAGACATCTGAAGGCAGCCCTGTTTAGGGAAGCTTTTAATGTTTAATAGGTTATTGTATTTTAGTGTTTTGTTGGAAGCTGCCAGAGTGGCTGGGGAAACCCAGCCAGATGGGCGGGGTATAAATAATACATTATTATTATTATTATTATTATTATTATTATTATTATTCCACCTCCATGCATGATGACAGAATTGGAGGAGGAGACTAAGTGGTCTGCTTTTGAGATGGCACTTGTACCCAGATCTTTCAGATACGAGCCCAGCTTCCTGCCTCTTCTCAGATCCTAGAGAAATAAATTCTAAATTCTCCCCAGTCCAAGGGAACACAAACCAAGCTGCTGGCTTCTCCCTGCGAAAGGCCTGTAATTTAAACCAGCATTTCAGATCTATGGCAATTCTCTTCTCAGGAAGAAAACAGACCCATGTCAAAGCAGAGCCAGCCCACAGAGAGGAGGGCGGCCTCGTTTAGGGGTTGAGCTTTCTCAGTCAGCTACCCTGGTGTGCCTTGAGTTGCGCTTAGGAACGTCCCTCTGGGGTGTGGCTTGTTTGCCCGATCTGCTCCAACTTGCCCAGGGAGAGGCTTGCAGATGTGGGCCGGCAGCTACTGGGTGGCCTAGGAGCTATTTTAGGGAGGCTGTTTTGTTAATGTTACCTTTCAGAATGAGGGAAGGGCGTACACAGCACGCCAACCCCAGCAAAATGCAGGCATAGAATGTGCTTGGCAGCTAAGCTCGGATTCCTATCTGACAGGCATAGGCTTGTGTTTGTCCCCATCCACTAGACTAAAGTTACCAGATCAACAATTTGAAATAAGGGAAGTTAGCAAGCTGCGGCGGCGCCGTGACCCACCATAGCATTGCAGGAGAGGTTCTGTAGGCAGTAGTCCTAACCCCACTTCCCTGGGAGTTAGTCTCCTTGAATTCAGTGGAATTTCCTTCTGAGTAGGGCACATACCCTTAAATCCAATTGGGAATCACTGGGGTTCGGCCTGGAACAGTTCCTTAAGGGCCGCAAGGTAACAGAGGCACGCGAAAAGTCACAGGCTTTTTCATTTTGTGTGGAATAACTTTTGTGCTCGCCTTAATCACACATACAGCAGACCCACCCGCTTGCATTGGCTCCTGGGCCAAGTAAAACAAAGCTTGCCTCCTTGACTCTGGCCCCTTAGTCCAAGGGCTGCATTTCTGAAACGAAGACCCAGCTGCCCTACTAGCAGTCAGGGGATGGAGATACATTTGGGCTGGTGGAAGAGAGTGCAGCCAAACCCCCATGGCCTGGGGAAGGGGCTTGTGCTGAGCTGGCAAGGGAGCTTGATACACTCAATTTTAGCTCACTAGTAGAGCATAGGGCTGAGATGGACTTCCATTGTGCTTTTCAGAATTGTTCACGTTTTGAACCAATGCTGTTTTTAACACAGTAGCCTACTTACCGTATTTTTCCGCCTACAAGACACCCCCATGTATAAGACTCCCCCTATTTTTGGGGACTCTGATTTGAGAAAATGGGGGGAGGTACTATCCATGTAGGGACGCAGGTGGCGCTGTGGGTTAAACCACAGAGCCTAGGACTTGCCGATCAGAAGGTCGGCAGTTCAAATCCCTGCAACGGGGTGAGCTCCCATCACTCAGTCCCTGCTCCTGCCAACCTAGCAGTTCGAAAGCACGTCAAAGTGCAAGTAGATAAATAGGTACCACTCCGGTGGAAAGGCAAACGGCGTTTCTGTGCGCTGCTCTTATTCGCCAGAAGCAGCTTAGTCATGCTGGCCACATGACCCGGAAGCTGTATGCCGGCTCCCTCAGCCAATAAAGCGAGATGAGCGCCGCAACCCCAGAGTCGGTCACGACTAGACCTAATGATCAGGGGTCCCTTTACCTTTATAGTTTACTATCCATGTATAAGACAAGCCCAGATTCTGAACGTTATTTTAGAGTAAAAGAACATAGTCTTATACACGGAAAGGTACGGTAATTGTTTTTAAAAAATATTTACAACTGGTGTGTTTTTAGTTCTTAAAAAGGTAAAGGGACCCCTGACCATTAGGTCCAGTCGTGGCCGACTCTGGGGTTGCGGTGCTCATCTCGCTTTATTGGCCGAGGGAGCCGGCGTACAGCTTCCGGGTCATGTGGCCAGCATGACTAAGCTGCTTCTGGCGAATAAGAGCAGCGCACAGAAACGCCATTTACCTTCCCACTGGAGTGGTACCTATTTATCTACTTGCACTTTGACGTGCTTTTGAACTGCTAGGTTGGCAGGAGCAGGGACCGAGCAACGGGAGCTCACTCCATCGTGGGGATTCGAACCACCGACCTTCTGATCGGCAAGTTCTAGGCTCTGTGGTTTAACCCACAGCGCCACCCACGTTTTAGTTCTTACCTGTTTTTAATTCAGGTTGTCAGGCACCTTGGGTCCTGCACAGGGAGAAAGGCAGGATGTAAATAAAAACAAAAAAACAAAAGCACATACTGAAAATGCAGGTTTCAGTTTCCCCCCTTTAAAAAAGAAACACTGGTTTGAAAATTGTGGGGAAATGCACTGATGCAGTTTGGAAAGGATGTGGAAATGTATATGGGGCAAGCAACTAAGAGGAAGTCTATATATAAACACCCTGCAAGTAAATCAGAATGAATGCTCAGTAAACAGGTCATCAATGGTGCTTTAGCCAAAGGCATACAGAAATGACCCATGTTGTTTTGGAGGGAGTAACTTATCAAAAGAGAAGTGCTGGGGTTCAGCCTGCATGGACTCAGGTGCAACCTGACTGCTTTGAGGTGGGCTTCACTCCCAGGCTCCTCCTGCTCCCAGTTCAGGCAGGGCATTTGCCTGGAGTTCAATCTCAGCCTAAAGGATGTTGCTGATGGGTCCCAGGGCATCCCCTCTTCTGGAGCTGTGATATTTTGTGGGTTGGCCGCTTCACTGGGGTTTGTTGCTCAGGAGCCCCTGACATGAACCACTCTGGCAACTTTCTCGATCACTGGCGCCTCGCTTTATAGCTCTCTCAGCCACTCCTCTCTCCTGTTAATCAGCAGCAGGAAGGGCAGGCAGGAGAACGGATCCAGCGGTCTTATCTTCCCCCAGCACAGGACCCAGGGTGTGGCATGGACTTCCCCCGTCTGCCGAGGCTGAACATGCCCTCCCCCTGGCCTGAAGAGAAGGAACCAGGGAGGCTGGCTCAGAGAGAGGCGTCCTGCCCACCAACCATGTTCCTTCTTCTGCGCTCTGAAAAATGGCGAGGCCTGCTCCCGCTCCCTGCTGGATTTCAGAATCTTTAGCGCTGTTGCTCTGCCCAAACATCAGGCTCTCTGTCCTTGAAGCTTGGGTGCTTGAGCCGGAAAGGGGAATGCAGGTGCCCAGCACAAAAGCACTCCAGGCATGCTCAGAGGAGCTGGTTTTCTTAGTGTAACTTTTAAAATTATTATTACGTTTTTCAAGGCTGCTCCTAAGATTGGAAAAGAGGAGTGGTGGTTTTCCAGGAGAACTCCTTCTTTGCATACCTCAGCTTCAGTTGCAGAGCAGGAAGCCAGGCAGGCTTTGGGAAGGTAGCAGGAGGGCTCTTGGACCCTGTCAGATCCCTCCAAAGCTGGACAGAAGCTTCCAGGGCTTTGGGAAGGAGCTGCCAGGGGAATGTTTAGGGGACTAGCCTAGTCCCCCTAGTCCACTGCCTGCACACCACTGTTTTGAAGGATGGTATGCAAAGTGGGAGGGACGCGGGTGGCGCTGTGGATTAAACCACAGAGCCTAGGACTTGCCGATCAGTAGGTCAGTGGTTCGAATCCCCGCAACGGAGTGAGCTCCCGTTGCTCGGTCCCTGCTCCTGCCAACCTAGCAGTTCGAAAGCACGTCAAAGTGCAAGTAGATAAATAGGTACCGCTCCAACAGGAAGGTAAATGGCGTTTCTGTGCGCTGCTCTGGTTTGCCAGAAGCAGCTTAGTCATGCTGGCCACATGACCCGGAAGCTGTACGCCAGTTTCCTCGGCCAATAAAGCGAGATGAGCGCCGCAATCCCAGAGTCGGTCACGACTGGACCTAATGGTCAGGGGTCCCTTTATCTTTACCTTTTTATGCAAAGTGGAGTGGATTGTATGGTGGCAAGAGGCATTCCATGAGGTTTAGTTACCAAAAGGTTATACAGTAGAGTACACCCTAAGGCAGGTGTACTTTATAAGGTATACTAAGACGCGGGTGGCGCTGTGGTCTAAACCACATAGCCTTGGGCTTGCCGATCAGAAGGCTAGCAGTTCGAATCCCCGCGACGGGGTGAGCGCCCATTGCTCAGTCCCAGCTCCTGCCAACCTAGCAGTTCGAAAGCACGTCAAAGTACATGTAGATAAAAAGGTACCACTCCGGCGGGAAGGTAAACAGTGTTTCCATGCGCTGCTCTGGTTCACCAGAAGCGGCTTACTCATTCTGGCCACATGACCCAGAAAAACTGTGGACAAATGCCGCCTCCCTCGGCTAATAAAGCAAGATGAGTGCCGCAACCTCAGAGTCATCCATGACTGGACTTAACGGTCAGGGGTCCCTTTACCTTTACCTTTAAGGCAGGGTAGCCTTAGTTTGGAGATGTTTTGAATTACCACTTCTATTCGCCTCATTCAGCATGACCAATGATCAGGGGTGTCTGGAGGGCAACATGCCCTGAAGCAAGGTAACGGGCAGGCTTCAGGTTTGTAGGACCTACCTTGCTTTTTTGCTAGAAACCACCAAATCCGACAACTGGAGCCAGGCTCCTTGGCCACACCCATCACACAACAAAGGTACTGTAGAACTGCTCCATCCAACATCTTTAAGAAAAGAAGTCTTTCCACTTTAAATGGCAGACTATTATTATTATTATTATTATTATTATTATTATTAATAAATTCCCCTTATTTCCATTTTGCAGCTTCCGAGCAAAAAAACCCTTTAATCTAACTCGCTCCCAAATCTCTGTTCTCTGGATGCCGGCCATTCCTCTTCCTCCCCCAATTCCATGTCCTCTCCAAAACAGTAATCATTGTTTGCAACCATGGAATGCCAGGTGGCCTGATTTGTTCTGCCCCACGAATGTTCACACAAAGTTAGACTCTAGTTGAATCTACCACAGAGTTCCTGGTCTGGAGCATCAGTGCATTGATGGGGGTCTCTCTGGATGGGGAGCGATGGAGGGGAAGCAACTTCAATGCGAAAAGGATGAGCCTCCCGCTTTGATCTCACGCCAGAGTTGTAAAGCATCTGGGGTTGCCTTGTCAGCTTCCTCCTCTCCCCCTGCCATTTTTTGTGTGGCTCTGTTCAGTCTCAACTTAGTTTTGTAGCCACAAACATGCTGGCAATATCAGGGGAAGTTGCCCTGGGATTGAACTACATGTGACGACCTTGGCAGACCTGTTGTGTGTCTGCATCAGTTAACGCTCAGTGATGAGGGGGTTTCATTTAAAGAAGAGAAGGGGGATATTGAGTTCTTGAGTTAAGGGGGACCAGAAGCGACCTGGCTCCCTTATTTTTCTTGCAGCGGTGCCATCAGGGCAGACGTCCAAGGCAGAATAAGAGGAGGGCCCCCAAACACAGCAGAGCTGGCTTAACATACTGTGTGGAAGTACACATTACCATGTAAAGAGGGTGGCCCTAGGTAAAGGTAAAGGGACCCCTGACCATTAGGTCCAGTCGTGGCCGACTCTGGGGTTGCGGTGCTCATCTCGCTTTATTGGCTGAGGGAGCCGGCGTATAGCTTCCGGGTCATGCGCTGTCTGGTGAACCAGAGCAGCGCACGGAAACGCCGCTTACTTTCCCGCCGGAGCGGTACCTATTTATCTACTTGCACTTTGACGTGCTTTCGAACTGCTAGGTTGGCAGGAGCAGGGACCGAGCAACGGGAGCTCACCCCGTCGCGGGGATTCGAACCGCTGACCTTCTGATCAGCAAGTCCTAGGCTCTGTGGTTTAACCCACAGCGCCACCCGCGTCCCTTTGGGTGGCCCTACAGGATAATTAAAAACAGGGGTTATCACTGTTCCCGTAGGTGCCAGGGTATTCATGAGCACCTCCTACGGCACCCGCAAAATGTTTGAGTAAATGTTCCTGTATACCTGAAGGAGCGTCTCCACCCCCATCGTTCAGCCCGGACACTGAGATCCAGCGCCGAGGGCCTTCTGGCGGTTCCCTCATTGCGAGAAGGGAGTTTACAGGGAACCAGACAGAGGGCCTTCTCGGTAGTGGCACCCGCCCTGTGGAACGCCCTCCCTTCAGATGTGAAAGAAATAAGTAGCTATCTTATCTTTAAAAGACATCTGAAGGCAGCCCTGTTTAGGGAAGTTTTTAATATTTAATGCTGTATTGTTTTTAACATTCGATTGGAAGCCGCCCAGAGTGGCTGGGGAAACTCAGCCAGATGGGCGGGGTATAAATAATATATTATTATTATTATTGTTAATGAATACCCTCTCAAAAATCCACAATGCCATACCCCACAACATTTCTCCAATGAAAATTGGGACATCCTATTCAATCACCACCACCACCACCACCGTCATCATCATTATTATATGTAATAATAATAATAATTTATTATTTATACCCTGCCCATCTGACTGGGCTGCCCAAGCCACTCCGGGCAGCTTCCCACATATATAAAAACATAATAAAACATTAAGCATTAAGAAACTTCCCTACACAGGGCTGCCTTCAGATGTCTTCTAAAGGGTGTATAATGTATCTCCTTGGCTCAGGGGCACATAACTCCATACCGTCCAACTTTTCTCCAATGAAAAAGGGAAAGTGGGGCATTCTGGGATCCAATAGAAACCGGGATGGCTTCTGTAAATCCGGGCCTGTCCCTGGAAAATAGGGGCACTTGGAGGTCTGCAATGCATGAGAGACTGTTTACTCTTCCTGTTCAGTTTCTGTTAGCTTAGCAGCGACTTGGTCTCTCCTGCATTGAACATGCTCCCTTAAACATGGCCACATTCCACTGGGTGCCATGACTGGATGCCCACCTTCTGAACAGACGAGAGGCACAAAGAGCTTCTCTTTGTGAGCAAGCGTGGTGATAGCTGATGTCGGTGCCCTTCTCTGCATTGGTTGATGGGGGAACGTGACCATACAGTGTTGTGGCCTTGTCACTTCTTTGGCTCTTTTTAGATGTGGCATTCATTTTGTGTTATGCCACAACCTCCGCAGCAGCCATTTCGTGACTTGCTCCCATCCCCCAAATTATATATGTCGCCATTGGCCCAAAAGAAGGTTGGTGACCAGTGGTCTGAAAGATCACCACTGGTATGGCTTTCAAAAGCTACAAGGGAGCCATGATTTGGACAAAATTGCAGGAACGATGCTTGTAGATTTAATTACGAATCCCCTCCCATCCTAATTTGAACACAGGACACGTGGGTGAGAGCTTCTGAAGAAATGCAGTCCATTAGGGCAAACAGGGCACTGCCCTATAACCTCAGACAGCCTCCACATGCCTGCCTTCTTATTTACCAATCTAGAGGAAGAATCTGTCTTGCTTCACCCTTAGGCTGTGTCCATACCACACCTTTACAGCACATTCAAAACACTTTCTTTCCTTCAGAGAATTCTGGGCACTGTAGTTTGCTGCTGGGAATTGTAGCTCTGTGAGGACTAAACTACAGTATCCAGAATTATTTGAGGGGAAGAATGAGCTTTGAATGTGCTTTAAATGTATAGTGAGTACAGTGGTGCCCCGCAAGACGAATGCCTCGCAAGACGAAAAACTCGCTAGACGAAAGGGTTTTTCGTTTTTTGAGCTGCTTCGCAAGACGATTTTCCCTATGGGGTTGCTTCGCAAGAAGGAAACGTCTTGCAAGTTTGTTTCCTTTTTCTTAACACCGTTAATACAGTTGCGACTTGACTTCGAGGAGCAACTCATAGAACGCGGTGTGGTAGCCTTTTTTGAGGTTTTTAAAGACTTTGGTGATTTTTGAAGCTTTTCCAAAACTTTCCCGACACCGTGCTTCGCAAGACGAAAAAAATCGCAAGACGACAAAACTCGCGGAACGAATTAATTTCGTCTTGCGAGGCACCACTGTACTCAGTCTCAGCCTCATCATACCCATTGTCCTCTAAACATCAAAGCTAAGAACACAAAGTTCATACCACGCGAGTAATGTAGGTTGCAATCCTAATTGTGCTTACTGGCGAGGAAGCCCCAGTGGATTCAATAACACTTAGCTGTGTGTAGTCGTGATTAGCATTTCATTGTTACTTATACATGCACTTAAAAAATAATAATGGCAGTACACCAATTCTCATACGCTATTAACATCTCCTAAAAATAGCAGCTGCAAGATTATTAAATGACACCCTCATTCGCCAGCTGAACACATCCCTCAGTTAAACCCTCCCTCCTAAAAGGGGGAGCAAACACATTTCCAAATAGCTGTTAAACAGATAGGTCATTCTTCAGGTAGCCACATGCCTGCATTCAAATTTCAACGTATAGCCAATAGATTGCTGTTAATTCAGCATCTAAAAAGTGTGTGTGTGGTTATATTCCATATGCTCAGTTGTGGGGTGTCAAAACATGCATACATACAGGGCTTTTTTCAGCTGGAACTCGCCGGAACTCAGTCCTGGCACCTCTCATGTGGGTGCCATTGCCATTCTAAGAGAAGGGAGGCGTTCAGGGTGAGTTCCAGCACCTCTTTTTTTCTAGAAAAATAGCACCGCATACATATTAGTTGCCCCACAAGATGCATACTATAGAATCTACTCACATTTTTTCCTTGTTAACTGCATTATGAAATAATCTAATCCATGGGTAGGCAAGCTAAGGCCCAGGGGACGGATGCAGCCCAATTGCCTTCTAAATCCGGCCTGCGGACGGTCCGGGAATCAGCATGTTTTTACATGAGTAGAATGTGTCCTTTTATTTAAAATGCATCTCTGGGTTATTTGTTGGGCCTGCCTGGTGTTTTTACAGGAGTAGAATGTGCGCTTTTATTTAAAATGCATCTCTGGGTTATTTGTGGGGCATAGGAATTCATTCTCCCCCCCCCAAAAAAAAATAGTCCGGCCCCCCACATGGTCTGAGGGACAGTGGACCAGCCCCCTGCTGAAAAAGTTTGCTGACCCCTTATCTAATCTGTGTTCCACAGGAATAATGCTCCAGGGCTGAAGCAGACATTGTGAAAACTAATTTCCCCCTCCCACATTGGTAAAGAGTAAATTCAATTAACTGTGGGTGTAGCCATGAAAACACGCAATTTAAATGTTTGGTCACACCTTGAAACCGAGCAAATGGGTCAGCTGAGCCTGCAATTAATTTTGTCCAATGGGAGGAAGCCTCAAGTCTTAGTGGCTGGCACCCTAGGAAGGGACACAGAAGATTTGGATGGCCTGGGGCTTTCCTCCTCCTCAGCTTATGCTTCTCACTACTTTTATATTTGTCTCTTCAGCTCTGCTTTCGCGAAGCTATAAAGTGAACAGGCTGCAGATTCATGAAGCTTAATCCAAACAGCTCTGTTGAAGACAGATCTGAGTTAATGGTTATCCACAGTTACCTTTCCTCTGCTCTTTCCGGTCCATGATTTAAAACGCCGTATCCGAGCGCTTCACCCTTCTCTCTTCCTCTCCCTCTCCCCCCCGCCCCGGAGCTTTCCCCACAAAAACCCACTCTCTAAAGCTCAATCGGAGTTCACAGCAATCCACGGAAAACCCGAATAGACGTTTGCTCCGATTTAGCTTTAAAGAGCAGATTTTCACAGGGAATGCTCAGGGCAGCAAACCACACACATGTTAAAGAGCAGGCCCCTGCCTGGAAAGAAAGGGGCAAATGGTTAGTGTGAATAAGCCCCCTCTCCAAGGCATGAAATGATTTGCTGCCACCTCGGGTATTGTACGTTGCTATCATAGGCTGGCCCCTTCTGGTGCCTGGCATTTGGGTATGGCTAATGCTCTCTTCCAGAACAGGGTGAGTGTGGGGGAGCCTGCAGGAAGAAAGCATCATCACCCAACCATATTTATATTGTGTCCTTCATACGACAATCACAGGGCAGAAATACATAAAAACAAAGCAAAATGGTAGTACTGTTAAAACATGCATAGTAAACATGAATTCCATACAAAACAGCAGCAGGAATTAAAAAAAAAAACCCAACAGTCCAATATACCTCACCCTTCTCCTATGCATGCATGCCTCTTTGTCATTTGCATTTATCCTTGTTTTGTTGTTCCTATTGTTTTGTTGGCTGCCTTGAAGCACTGCCTAGCCTGTCTAGATGGGGATGTAAATTTCTATAAGAACAGTTAACAGCTTAGATCCTAAGCTATTTTAGTAGAAACAATCAAAGAACCTTACAGACTAACAAATTTTGTTGCCTAACCATTGGGAGACTTAAACCCAGGCATATAAAGGAGGTGGGAGTTGAATGGCAATGAGATGCAAAATTTATAGCCGGTGATCATTAGAGCTTAAAGCTATGTTAAATAGGTCCACCTTTGACCTTTTATGTTGGCTGATAAGGGATGATTGTTGACTTGATTGTATTAACACTTGTAAGGGGTTAGCTAACCATCTGCTCGAAGCAGTCATAGATAGCAAAATGCTGACTGGATCAACCTCATTTTTCCTCCAGGACCAAGTTTGAAGGGGCTCTGGACAAAGTGTCCTCCATGAGCTCCTTGCTAGTTGGTTCTCACCACCAGAGATGGGCTTCCCTAGCTGCAGCAATAGGGCAGCTACAAGCATCTATTTAAATGAGAGAGAGAGAGAGAGAGAGAGAGGAAGAAGAAGAAGAAGAAGAAGAAGAAGAAGAAGAAGAAGAGGAGGAGGAGGAGTTTGGATTTGATATCCCGTTTTATCACAATGACAAACCTAGACAGCATCTTAAAAAGCAGAGACATCACCTTGCCAACAAAGGTCCGTATAGTTAAAGCTATGGTTTCCCCAGTAGTGGTGTATGGAAGTGAGAGCTGGACCATAAAGAAGGCTGATCGCCGAAGAATTGATGCTTTTGAATTCTGGTGCTGGAGGAGACTCTTGAGAGTCCTATGGACTGCAAGAAGATCATACCTCTCCACTCTGAAGGAAATCAGCCCTGAGTACTCACTGGAAGGACAGATCCTGAAGCTGAGGCTCCAATACTTTGGCCACCTCATGAGAAGAGAAGACTCCCTGGAAAAGACCCTGATGTTGGGAAAGATGGAGGGCACAAGGAGAAGGGGAGGACAGAGGACGAGATGGTTGGGCAGTGTTCTCGAAGTTACCAGCATGAGTTTGACCAAACTGCGGGAGGCAGTGAAAGACAGGAGTGCCTGGCGTGCTCTGATCCATGGGGTCACAAAGAGTCGGACACGACTAAACAACAACAAAAGGAGTCTCAAAGCGGCTAACAATCTCCTTTCCCTTCCTCCCCCACAACAAACACTCTGTGAGGTGAGTGGGGCTGAGAGACTTCAGAGAAGTATGGCTACCCCAAGGTCACCCAGCAGCTGCATGTGGAGGAGCGGAGACGCGAACCTGGTTCCGCAGATTACGAGTCTACCGCTCTTAACCACTACACCACTCCTTCATGACCTGTACCTTAGTACACAGACACAGAGGAAAGACTCAGGCGACAGCATCCCTTGGCATGTCTCCTTTTTGTGGACCCAGGAATGAAGGTGCTCTGTGCTGATCTGGAGATCAGTGGAACAGGGCAGCTGTAGCACACAAGAGGTCTTGGTTTTGACCCCTGGCTAGGGTCTCCCAGAATGTGCACACCTGAGGCAAGGCAGTGTGATGACAGCCCATCTCCCTAGAGGCCTGGTATGAAAGCAGTAGAGTAGACTTTCAAAGACATCAACTGGAGTGTTTATGCCAGGAAGATCCAACCCTTTTGGGTCCAGGGTCACATTTGGGAATCAAAGAAACTGTCATGCATGGGCATAACCAGGATTTATGATGGGGAGGGGACGGTACAGGACACCCACCTGACATCATCCTCTGTCTGGCTCTGTCTGGCAGATTCGAAATGAAATGTCTCAGTGACAGTTTTAAATTGCTTTCTTTTGACCCCAAGTGCTCAGAAAAATCTGTCAAAATCTTTCTACAATTTCTACTTTAGTTAAGTATTTTTATTTACTCACTTGATTTAGTGGGGGCAGCTGCCCCCCATTCCTTCCCCCCCCGGCTATGGCCATGCTGTCATGGACAGCACAGAACACATGTTTCACAGAAGAAACCCACCTCCCCCCCCCAAAAAAAACCCAGGCAAAACAAATAAAACAGACAAAAAAAGTGGGCAGTACCTGACAAGAATATGGGGACGCGGGTGGTGCTGTGGGTAAAACCTCAGTGCCTAGGACTTGCTGATCGTAAGGTCGGCGGTTCGAATCCCCGCGGCGGGGTGATCTCCCGTCGTTCGGTCCCAGCTCCTGCCAACCTAGCAGTTCGAAAGCACCCCTAAGTGCAAGTAGATAAATAGGGACCGCTTTATAGCGGGAAGGTAAACGGCGTTTCCGTGTGCGGCGCTGGCTCGCCAGATGCAGCTCCGTCACGCTGGCCACGTGACCCGGAAGTGTCTTTGGACAGCGCCGGCTCCCGGCCTCTTGAGCGAGATGAGCACGCAACCCTAGAGTCGGTCACGACTGGCCTTCGGGCAGGGGTACCTTTACCTTTACCTTACCTGACAAGAAACAGAGTTCCCCAAACAAGCAACCAAAAAAGGAAAATCACTCATTAAAAAAAAAAAATGTTGAGCAGCAAAGCAAACATATAGTAGCCAACCCCTAGGGGCTGAAGTCTCACTCCCCCCATAAAATGTTTGAGGTGACTGCTCCCCAAAGTTGATGGGCACTGCCATTCCAGTGGTGTGTGTGCTGTGTCTTGCAATCAGTTACGCAAGGCAGGGCTTACCTGCCCCCCATACTTTATTGAAAGTTGGCACCTCTGAAAGCAGATATCGCTAGGCACCAATTAGGGGGCATCTGCCATTGTTCCCACAGACACCACGCTGGGGACCCTCAGTTCAAGTTGTGCCTCTGCCTCACCTGTATTTTTGTAAATAAACTCAAACTTTACAAAATGCCCGTAAGCCTCCCGTGAGCGAACTCCTTCCAAAGGGAACCGAACCTGGATGAATGTGACAACTTCTTGGGGCTTGGAGATGTGGGGTACACATAACTATATGCCAAAGGTTTCTTCTGAAATCTGTGGGGCTTAAAAGCGCTTAATACGGGCTGGATCGTGCGCTATGAGGAATTGTGTTTCTGCTATGAACAGATTTGGCTAGAGGCTGGTGTTTTCCTTCAAAGCTGAGAGGGAGGGGTGCCTCCCACTCTTCTCCCCCTGTTAATTTGAGGAGGGCATGTGCGCATATATATTTGCATTGTTTGATCTCTAGTGTCATCCATTTTTTAGTGTTATCCACTTCATCTCAGAAAATCCTCCCCCTTCCAAGCAAAGAGTTTTGGAAGAATTCTTTGAAAGCTGCTTGCTTGAGCTCCCAGACACTCCTCCCCAAAGCTGGCAGGGGGATCAATGAGCTACTCAGCCCTGCCAGATCGATGGTTGCATTCATGGCTTGCACTTGGCTCACAGAGTGGCGCCACAGATGGATCCTCCTTCAGAGCTGTCTGCGCACAGCCAGTGTTTATGAAAGAAGGGGGGAAAGTCTCCTGGAAATTGTGCAGAAAATGAATTTGGCACAAGAGGATGTGCCACCGTGCTTCTTCCAGGCCAGTCCCTGGCTCACATACAAAGTGGGCAGTGCGCTGCTATCCTCCAAATTGCCAGGGCAACCCATAAATTCATTGGCGGGAAGAGAATTGAGCACCTGCCTCTGTTTCCCCCGCTTTCCAAAATGCTGACCAAGTTCAGGAGAGAAACGAACCAACCATAGGAAAGGCAGGTCAACAGAGCAGCAATATTCCTCATGCGACAAAATGGCAGCTGTCGTACAATAGCTTGGTTGTGCAAAATGGCTGTCACAGATAAGCCCTCCTGGGCAGAGTTTTCTTATCAGGGCAAACATACGGTATTCGCTTTATTTGTCCTAAAGATCTAAGGAGAGTCCACCCGGCCGGAATAAAACTTAGTCTAGTCCTGTTTTCTATCAGTGGGCCACCAGACAAGGGTTTCTGGACAGCTTACAAGCAGGACATAAAGGCAGCTGGTTCCCCCTGTGACTTGTCTCTTGTGCCTGGTATTCTTCTCTTGAGCATGGAGGTTCTACACCATGAGGCCAGTCGCTGTAGCATAGCGATTGGAAATAGTAAAGGTAAAGGGACCCCTGACCATTAGGTCCAGTCGTGACCGACTCTGGGATTGCGGTGCTCATCTCTCTCTATAGGCCATGGGAGCCGGCATTTGTCCGCAGACAGCTTCCGGGTCATGTGGCCAGCATGACTAAGCCACTTCTGATGAACCAGAGCAGCGCACAGAAACGCCGTTTACCTTCCCGCCAGAGCGGTACCTATTTATCTACTTGCACTTTGATATGCTTTTGAACTGCTAAGTTGGCAGGAGCAGGGACCAAACAACGGGAGATTCGAACTGCTGACCTTCTGATCGGCAAGTCCTAGGCTCTGTGGTTTAACCCACAGCGCCACCCGTGTCCCTAGCGATTGGAAATAGCTGGGTCCAAATCTGGACTCAGTATCCATGAAGCACTCTCAGGAAGTCATTATCTGCCTGAGCCACCATGCCACACTTCATCCTGTTCCTGTTAAACAGAGAGGTGGAATCTGTGACCTACCAGCTGTTGTTAAACTCCAACTCCTATCCGCCCCGGCCAGCGTGGCCAATGGTCAGGCATGGGAGGCTGGACGGCCATCTGTCATGTATGATCTAGCTGAGATTCCTGCATTGCAGTGGGTAGGACCCTGAAGACCCCCTTCCAACTCTACAAGTCTACCTTGAATTTGTAGTCTAGCAATGTCTAGAGGGCTACAGGTTCCCACTCCCTGCTGTTAATGTCTGGAGCCGTCTCTAAAAGGGTTTGCTCTGCCAGATTCCACAATGTCACAGAAGACTACAGTGGTACCTCGGGTTACATACGCTTCAGGCTGCATACTCTGCAAGAGCCTGCCTAGTCTTCTGCTGAGGTTAAGAACTTTGCTTCAGGATGAGAACAGAAATTGTGCGGCGCGGCAGCAGCGGGAGGCCCCATTAGCTAAAGTGGTGCTTCAGCCTCTTGAAATGTAACTTCTTATATGGAAAGCTTCTGGTGTAAATCCAGTACAGTGGTACCTCTGGTTGCAAACGGGATCCGTTCCGGAGGCCCGTTCGCAACATGAAAAGAGCGCAACCCACAGCGGCGCTTCTGCGCCCACGCAGGTTGCGATTCACCACTCCTGTGCATGTGCGAGCGGTGAAACCTGGAAGTAACCCTTTCCGGTACTTCCTGGTCACCGTGGGACGTAACCTGAAATAACGTAACATGAAGCGGACATAACATGAGGTATGACTGTAGACTGTTGTGGCTGTTTTGCTTTTAACCATTTGATACTCAATAAAAAAAAACCTGCCACCAAACGGCAGCATAATCATCGCTATTTTGAAGAGAGAGAGTAATGAATGTAGTCTAATGGGTTTCTGAAAACTGTACAGTGGTACTTCTGGTTAAGAACTTAATTCGTTCTGGAGGTCCGTTCTTAACCTGAAACTGTTCTTAACCTGAAGAACTTTAGCTAATGGGGCCTCCCGTTGCTGCTGCGCCGCCGAAGCACGATTTCTGTTCTCATCCTGAAGTAAAGTTCTTAACCCGAGGTACTACTTCCGGGTTAGCGGAGCCTGTAACCTGAAGTGTTTGTAACCCGAAGTTTTTGTAACCCGAGGTACCACTGTATTTTGTTATGCGTCACATTGACAGCAGCCTTGCCTTCAGATCAGTAAAATTTGGCAGCTAGGCGCCAACATGAGTCCTAAACGCGGTGCTGTTCAGTGGTGGAGGCAAATAACATTTGACTCACACTGCGTTGGGCAGAGGAAACAGCAGTATAGTTGAAACAAAAACAAAAGCAAGGTCTGGTGGGGAAATATTATTTTCTAGCCATATCCCATGGTTTCAGTGACATCTACTGGTCAGGTCTAAAACTAGCTCTGAACAATTGAACGTATCTGAAATTCCTTTTTGTTTATCCATTGTGGAACTCGAGTCAAGAAAAATAAAGGGATGGGGGAAAGAAACCGAGAGCGCCTGAAACAGGAGGTCAGCATTTGTTTTTGTTTTTAGGAAGACATTTTTGGGAACAGTTTATTAAGAAACCAAGAGGAAATAAGCTGAACACTTCTGGAAGTAAAGTGATGCAAGAAAAGCCAGCAGTTTGCTTCCCTGCCCTTCAGGAGAACCTACTATAGACAAATTTTTTTTCTTCCTTTCCTTAGCCCCCGCCTCAAGGACTAAACCATGAGGTGAAAGAAAGAGGGAACCAAAAGTAGTTTCAGACACAGATAAAAAGGCACAAACATTTTAAGGATAAACTGGAAAAGGTTCTCGGGAGAAGCTAGAGGTGATATTCAGCTGCTCAGAACCATCCGCACCAACTCTTCATAGTGAATGCAGCCATTGCTGTCTTCATGGCCAGCCGCAAGCATCTCTACTTCTTCCTCGGTCATCTTCTCCCCCAAGGTGACAAGCACATGGAGTATCTCCGCTCCCATGACCGTCCTGTTGCCCTCCTGGTCAAAGACCCTCAGCCCCTCCACCTAATCCTCAAAGCAGCCTTGATCCTTGTTCTTGGCAATGGTTTGCATCATGGGCAGGTGAAATATACTCGGGAGTCGAGTGTGGATTTCATGCTCTTTATTCAGCTCATAGTAGTGAGGAATGGAAGTTTCCCCGAACTGTCTGGTTTATATACATTATTTACACAATGGGCCCCACGTGATTGGCGGCTAATTCCGGGATTCTCCTGTAGGCCAATCAGGTTGCGGATTCACTTCCACCTGGAGTTGGATTGGGTGGTTCCTGCTGCATTCTGGATCCTATTGCTCTAGGACCAATCAGACTGCTGCATTCTGGATCCTATTGTTCTAGGACCAATCAGACTGCTGCATTCTGAATCCTATTGTTCTAGGACCTATCAGACTGCTGCAGTTTGGATCCTATTCAACTCAGTACATAACAGCAGGAATTGCTCAAAGCTCAGGGTCTTTACATTCATTTCATCACTCTTAAGGTAAAGGTAAAGGTAAAGGGACCCCTGACCATTAGGTCCAGTCGTGGCCGACTCTGGGGTTGCAGCGCTCATCTCACTTTATTGGCCAAGGGAGCCGGCGTACAGCTTCCAGGTCACGTGGCCAGCATGACTAAGCCGCTTCTGGCGAACCAGAGCAGTGCACAGAAATGCCATTTACCTTCCTGCCAGAGCGGTACCTATTTATCTACTTGCACTTTGACGTGCTTTCGTAGTGCTAGGTTGGCAGGAGCTGGGACCGAGCAACAGGAACTCACCCCATTGTGGGGAATCGAACCGCCAACCTTCTGATTGGCAAGTCCTAGGCTCTGTGTTTTAACCCACAGCGCCACCTGTGTCGCTCTTAGGATTCTTAGGGTTCTTAGAACTCTTAGGGTTCCCCAGAACTTTCATGACTTCAGCATTGGTAGGTTTCTTGCCCAGGGCTCTCATGACATCACCAAACTGGCTGTACAGGATTGAGCTCAGCAGTCTGATCTTCCGAGAAGTCACACATAAATCCAGCTCCTCGCAGTTCTCTCAGCCTGGTGCTCTGACACTTCCCTCCTTCGGCCCTGAATGCTTGCAAAGTCTTTCTGCTGGTTGGGCTCTGAGGTCAGCAGGCAGACACTCGCTCCGGATTGGCTGACGCGTAGCAAAAATGGATCGACTGAAGGTCAGCCTTTGTGTAGTCGTAGAGAACGAAGAACACAGCCGCACAGTGCAGAGATAACACCTTCCATTTGACATCCTGATGTCGCTAAACGCCCGGCTCCACGTTCGGCCTGAATAGTGGGGGCCCCTCAAGAAAATATTGAGGGGGCCTAAAGAGCCTCAACCCCCTGGAGATGGTGCCTATGAGCCCCTTTCACCTCCCTCTCTGAAATCATCCCCACTGCTTTACAGCAGTTCAACACAGCCTACATTTTAAGAGACATTTCCTGTGATGGTCATGTATATTGGTTACCCAACCAAACAGCTTTTCCGACCCAGACCAACAAGACACAATTCCCCTGTGACCTGAACTAAGCATCCCTCCATTATTTTGGGGGCTACATATGGCGTTGGGAACAGGTGCATGGCGGCTGCAAGCCTAGATGCACCTGAGAATAGGGCCCGTGGGGCAAAGTGGGACTTACTGCTGAGTTAGCAAGGATGGGATCAGGCTGCACAGCTTAACTACCGCATTTTTTGCTCTATAGGACGCACCGGACCATAGGACGTACCTTGTTTTAGAGGGGGAGAACGGGGGGGGGGAATCTCTCCCCCTCTGCTCAGCGCACCTTTAGCGAAGCGGCGGGAGAAACAGAGCCCCTTCCATTTCTCCTCCCGCTTCGCTGAAGGGGTGCTGTGCAGAGAGGGAAAACTGGGCAGCGCCTCTCCAGCGAAGCGAAGCCTGGAGAGCAAGAGGGATTGGTGTGCACCGACCCCTCTCGCTCTCCAGGCTTCAGTGAAGGCAACCCGAAGCCTCCAGAGCGCAGCAGGAGTTCCTGCTGCACTCGGGAGGCTTCAGGCTTCAGGCGGCTATCCCCAAGCCTTCGGAGTGCAGCGGGAACTCCTGCTGTGCTCCGAAGGCTTGGGGATAGCTGCCTGAAGCCTCCAGAGCGCAGCGGGAGTTCCTGCTGCACTCCGGAGGCTTCAGGTTTCTTTTGCTGAAGCCAAGAGAGTCTTGTTCTCCCTGCTTCAGCAAAAGGAACCTGAAGCCTCTGGAGCGCAGCGGGAACTCGGTGCGCACCAACCCCTCTTGCTCTCCAGGCTTCAGCGAAAGTGATGCGAAGCCTCCAGAGCGCGGAGGGAGTGCTCCCTCTGTGCTTCGGAGGCTTCACGTTGCTATCGCTGAAGCCAAGGAGCCTGCATTCGCTCCATAGGACGCACACACATTTCCCCTTAATTTTTGGAGGGGAAAAAGTGCATCCTATTGAGCGAAAAATACGGTATTTGGTCTGGTAAATAGAGATCTGGGTTCAAACCCCACCTCTGCCCTGGGCCTGTTAAGCGCTCTTGGTTAAATCATAGCTCCTTGGTTCCCCATCTGCGAAATGGGAATAATGGTGATCCACCTCAGAGATAAGGTAAAAGCCACAAAGACAGCTAAGTATCTGCGGGATTAAAGGTTCTATATATAAATGGCTAGAAAGGATAGAATTATCCCAAACTTTATCCTGCCAATATTTGCAATTGGAGAATGGGTTGAAAAGTAAGCCTTTGCTGCCACCTAGTGTACAAATCCTCTTGTTTTCACTTTAGAGCATACAAGATAAGAACAGCAATACAGTGGTGCCCCGCAAGACGAATGCCTCGCAAGACGGAAAAACCGCTAGACGAAAGGGTTTTCCGTTTTGAAGTTGCTTCGCAGGACGAATTCCCCTATGGGCTTGCTTCGCAAGACGAAAATACCTTGCGAGTCTTGAGATTTTTTTCTCGCTCCCCCCCCTTTATCTAATCTGCTAAGCCTTTAATAGCCTTTAATAGCCTTTTAGCAGCTAATCCCCTAAGCCTTTAAGCCTTTAATAGCCGCTAAACCGCTAATAGCGCTAATAGCGCTAATCCGTCAATGGGCTTGCTTCGCAAGACGAAAAAACCGCTAGACGAAGACTCTCGCGGAACGGATTAATTTCGTCTTGCGAGGCACCACTGTACTTTGCAGACGTTGTTGTCATCGTCGTTTAGTCATGTCCGACTCTTTGTGACCCCATGGACCAGAGCACTCCAGGCACTCCTGTCTTCGACTGCCTCCTGCAGTTTGGTCAAACTCATGCTGGTAGCTTTGAGAACACTGTCCAACCATCTTGTCCTCTGTCGTTCCCTTCTTCTTGTGCCCTCCATCTTTCCCAACATCAGGGTCTTTTCCAGGGAGTCTTCTCTTCTCATGAGGTGGCCAGAGTATTGGAGCCTCAGCTTCAGGATCTGTCCTTCCAGTGAGTACTCAGGGCTGATTTCCTTAAGAGTGGAGAGGTTTGATCTTCTTGCAGTCCATGGGACTCTCAAGAGTCTCCTCCAGCACCAGAATTCAAAAGCATTAATTCTTTGGTGATCAGCCTTCTTTATGGTCCAGCTCTCCCTTCCATACATCACTACTGGGAAAACCATACCTTTAACTATACGGACCTTTGTTGGCAAGGTGATGTCTCTGCTTTTAAAGATCCTGTCTAGGTTTGTCATTGCTTTTCTCCCAAGAAGCAGGAGTTAGAATGTTATAATTAAACTGCTCGTCGTTTTGATAAGTGGAGCTTGCAGGGGAGAAAGTCCTGGGTATTACAGTGATTCCTGGAGGGTTGTTGCAGTGCCTAGGAAGACACCCCAAACCCATTTGCAGGTAGCTCAACAATGTCAGGGGTGGAAGCACATTTTGCCCTTACTGCAGTGCAGTGATCTATTTACCCCGCCCCCCCACACACAACAAACCGATACCAGTCAATATGAGTGGCTGTACACACACCCCATATTTAGGCTGTATGCACACTGTATCTTTAAAGCCCACTCAAAACCCATTCTTTCCTGCAAAGAATTCTGGGTGCTGTAGTTTGTTAAAGGCTGCTGGGAATTGGAACTCTGTCAGGGGGGAACTACAGTGTCCAGAATTCTTTGCAGGAAAGAATGGGCTTCTTTAAAGGTATATCATGTGTAGACAGCTTAAGGCTTCTCTCAAAGAGGTAAACTACAGTTCCCAGGATTCGAGGCGTGTGCTTTAAATGTATGGTATGCTATCAGAGTCAAGTCTGCTTCTTTTTACATAGCAGTATCCCAGATTCTGGTTTGCCAGAAGGTGGTGGCATGTTGTGGAAACTAGCTTTAGATAACAACCACCCTACTGCTAGCAATTGAAATACTTTATTGTCACCTGTACAACTTGTATACAGTGATATTACACAAGCACCCCCCACTCAGCTCTCTTAGTCTTAATTCCCCTCGTTTACTGACGCACACCCACCAAACCCGAAAGTCAGTTGCCCTGTTGTTATCTTTTCGTTCAGCAGCCTAACAGCCCACGGATAGAAGCTGTTCTGTTGGTGCGACTAATCATGCTTCTATATCTTCTGCCTGAGGGTGAATCATCCCTGAGAATTTTCCTCACTCTCCTGAGGCAACTTTCTTCCACGATGTTATCCAGCGGATTCACGGGACAGCCCATAATATCTTGTGCTGTATTCACCACCCTCTGTAGGCACTTCCTATCAGATGATGTCAAACCGGCGTACCACACCGTGATGCAGTATGAAAGGACACTTTCTGTTGTTGACCGGTAGAAGGAGATCATCAGATGTTGATTGACATTGTTCTTCCACAAGACTCTGAGGAGATGGAGTCTCTGTTGGGCTTTCTTAACCACCTGGGTTGTATTTATTTTCCAAGTAAGGTCTTCACTGAGATAAACTCCTAGGAATTTAAAAGAAGAGACTCTCTTCTCTATAGTATTAAGTTCTATACCACTATCAACATGCCTTACAGAGCAACATGAATTAAAAAAGATGCATGTTCCCTTGCTCCTAGGAGCTTCCAGTCTAAATTTTGCCATGAGGGAGGCAGCAGAGGCAGAGTGGGGAGATGGACAGTCAACAGTGGATATTCTGTGCACCTCTCAGTTCAAGAACAGATTGACAAGGCCTCACGGGGCCAACTTCAGGGCAATGCATGTGCCATTCAGCAAACACTGGATTGCTTTTAGGGTTGCCAACTGACTATACAAAAACAGGCCCAGCCTGTGCTTCTGCTTTTAACAGCAGCTTGATCGGGGGGGGGGGGGGGGGAGGGAAATCCACAAGCAAAGCTTTTCACAGCCTGGAAAGAAAATTTATTGCCTGCTGACATCAATAGCCATTCAGCAACTTTGAGGCAAGGAAGACGCCATTGGTAAAAGCCACACATTGTTTCAAGCAATCAGAAAGTTGACCTGGAATCCTCTTATGTGGGTCAGAGAATATCGGAGCAAGGAAGTTTGCTGGGTTAATATTTATGCCTCGCCTTGCAGTTTAGCATGGGCTAAACCCTGTCTGATCCTCAGGAAGCTCAGTTCCTGACAGCAAGAAGTTAACATCTCAAGCTTCTCTTGGCCTCAGATGGTGACCAGAGAAAACAGACTGAGGTTTCTCTAGGATGTAAAGATGATCTAATAGGATTAATCCCACAGGCTTGGGGGTTATGTCACTGCTCAGCAACTGGAAGGAATTCCAAGCCGAGGCCAGAAAGATTAGGCCGCGGGGCAGATTTAGGGGAGAAATGAAGTGGCCCTTAGCCATCTCTGAGTTGTCCTCAGCAGTGGAATATGTGAAGCTTGTCGTGGTGGAAATCAGGATGCTGAGCAGGGAATTTCTCATGTCAGGACCTTGCTGAAGCTTTGCACTTTTTAAAGAAACTAGAGACCATCCAGAGAAACTGTGAGATGCAGAGCAAATGGGGTAGCTAGCTTTATTTGCTGATTTTTATGAACAGGGTGGCCAGGTGCCCCACTTTGTGTCGGACAGTCCTCTGTGTTGATGGCGCACTCCTCTGTTTGAACACACCCTCTGTTTGAGGGCTATCCAGTCCAAGTCTGTTTTTAAGATGAGGAATGATAGAAAGTGAGAGCAGGAGCCACAAAGTTGACCACCGACAGTAAGGCTGCGTAGACACCAGAAATTTTATTCTAGAATCAATGGAAACTTCTTGTTTTGTGTGTGTAGTCCACACACAATCTAGATCCATTTCGTACCCTCCAACATTTCTCCAATGGAAATAGGGACGTCCTATTCAATAGTTATCATAATAATTTTATTCTTTATACCCCAACCACTCTGTGTGGCTTCCAACATATAAAAAAAGATCATAAAACATTAAACACTAAAAAAAGCTTCCCTAGACAGGGCTGCCTTCAGATGTCTTCTAAAGGTTGTATACTTACTTATCTCCTTGGCTCAGGGTGTGTGTGTGTGTGTGTGTCACGTAACTGATATATTCTATAATTTTAAATCCAGGAATCATAGGGGATGAAATATTCTTAGAGTCGAGAGTGGATTTCATGCTCTTTATTCAGCTCATAGCGGTGAGGAGGAATGGAAGTTCCCCCAGAATGTCTGCTTTATATACATTATTTACACAATGGGCCCCACGTGATTGGCTGATTCCGGGATTCTCCTGTAGGCCAATCAGGTTGCGGATTCACTTCCACCTGGAGCTGGATTGGGTGGCTCCTGTGGACCAATCAGACTGCTGCATTCTGAATCCTGTTGTTCTAGAACCAATCAGACTGCTGCCTTTTGGATCCTATTAAACTCAGTACATAACAGGGGATATGAGTTTTAGAGGAGGCAGCAGCTGTAATGGCTTTATAGAGCAAGACTGTGATGGGCTCTGCTGCCATCTGCCCTGGGGGGAGAGGAGCCCTGCCCCATAACACTGGGCTCCTCCAGGTGACCTATTTAGGGAAGAGCTATAGCTCAGGGATAGAGCACCAAGCTCCTGTTTCAATTCCTGGCATCTCCAGGTAGGGCTAAGAAAGATTTCTGCCTGAAATCCTAAAGAGCTGCTATTAGTCATTGAAAACAGTACGGACCTAGATGGACCCAGTGGCCCGACTCTGTGTAAGGAAATTCCCTATGTTATTATGTTTAGAGAGCTTTCATTCTGATTTGCTTACTTGAAGGATACAGTGGTAGCT